TGGTGCATTTGATTACGGCGATGGCTCCAGCACTAGGAAATGTGGGTAAGTAGGAGAAAGCTAGAGAAGGGGGCGATAACTTACAAGACACCGAGGCTCATGGCGATAGCTACACCGAACTTTTCCTTGTTCTTCATGTTCAAGTTCCAGAGCATAGCCCAAGGAAGAAGCGCCAGGATAAAATCGGTGGCAGCAGAGTAAGCTTAATGAGTATCAGCATCAGACCATGGAACACTATGGAGAAGACTTACTGCCGATGAAGTATAAAACTCCAAGGTAGGCATTAGGATGCCAACACTTGCTCACAATGGCCGGGTTCCATGTTGTTCGAGGATCTTCGCAGTGCACAAAGACAATGATAGAGATGAGGATATGAAGCGTAAGCATAGTAACGACGATGAACCAGAGGAACCGATGGATGAATCGCTGTGCGGCTAGTCGCATGAGACTGATCGAGAAGGATGTCTTGCCCAAGGCGCATGACATGACGACAAAGGGCTGTGAGACTTGGCCCAGCAATGCGACCGGGACGGCATCTTGAGGGGCAAAGGTGAGAACCCATTCGATATGTCGACCGAGACCTTTCTGAACTGCAGCTTCGATGATGCCGCCATAGCATATGAGAAGAATCTGTTGTGATCGATACTTGTTAGTACGTGAGGTGTCGAAGAAGGTTGGCTTCTTACCAGAGAGAGAACAATGACCCAGTCATCAAGACCAAAGACCTTTCGCACAAACAATCTCGTGTACACTCTAAGTCCAACAAAAAGAATGGGAAAGATGACGGACAGCCACGTAACAGTCCGAATCATCGGCCCCCGCGTCTCGGCGAGATACTCAGGAGAAGGCGTAGCAGCAGCCATATTCGCATCGATAACCAACAAGTTTATCTCACTCTGCTTTAGCAGGCACATTCATGCGTCTTATATGTTCCAAGGAGAAACCTTGCCACAGAATACGAAAATAACAAAACCGGCAGGCAAACAAATCATTTGGTAACATAGCTTTGTTCTCTCACGTATATGTCACATCTCAAGGATACCAGATGAAGGATTTCGAGTATCACAAAGAAACGAAAGAAGAAAAAGAAAGAAGGATATTCATCGTGGGGAAAAGATTGGCCTCGGGAGAGACCGAAGCCGTTGGACTCGAAACAACGGCTGGGAAAAGCAACGTTGAAAACGGGGCTGCAAAACCGCCGAGTGGCGAATCCAATCGAGGGCATGAGAATATCCCGACTTTGAGAGGAGAGAAAACAATGGGGACGATCAATGCCATCACAATCATACGTTGAGCAAGCCGCAACGGAGACGATCTGCAGATCCAATCACGGGGGACAATGGACGATGTTAGGATGTTTGTTCGTTTTTGCATAATATGTCAAATATCAGTTGTTACAACAGGGTTGCAATCGAAATTAGAGAATGGAGTCGCTTATTGTTATCTCCGTATTGCTGCCAATCCCGGTGAAGCGTTGGGTCTCGCGAATCTGATAGATCAGATGCCGTGCCATACTCCTGCATATTGGCTCGCCACAGAGAGTGGGTTTGCCTGCCGCGACAAGTTCTGCAAGAAATTTGTGCAGAGTGGATTTTGTCTGAATCAGAGTCTTCATCATTTTAGTGTTGAAGAAACCGTTGCGTGGGTATCAATGTTAATTGATGTCTTGTCTAAAGTTGGTCGAGGCTTAGTTCCCGTCTCAATGGCGTCCTTGTCCCGTGTCACTAGCTTCAACGCTATCTTATTGTGTAAGATTGCCTACGAACCAACAGTAAGCCAATAATTACGTGACAGTCACTTGTCATATTCTTCTGTATTCAGCTTGTGCTTCGAATATTGCCTCGAGTCCTGTAAGCTCTTTGTTTGCTCAGCCTTTTTCCAAGGATACCCCTGGCCCGTACAAGGATGATCCCGCCTCCCCGGTGAGATATTGTCTCTTCTCTCGTTCTCATCGTGCAGGACCTAATCCGATTCAGACAATCTCAACCGAGGTGGTTGCTAATCGAGACCGTGTGCGTGGGATTCTTTGTTATAACTACTGCATGCCAAGTTTCAAGGAGCCTCATGCTTATGTGGGGGAGCCAACAATTTCGCACGCGTTTGCGAGGCTACGGGAGGAGAGAAAGCTCAGGGCTATGATCCTAAGTGATAGGAAGATTTAGGTAACTTGGTCTAAGCGAAGCCTAAAATTAGTATAATTTAGGATACCTTATGTCAAGATTTGATCTTTTCTTGCTCGCCGAACCGAGGGAACGCTTCCTCTTCCCGTGTCCCAATGGCTTCTCTGCTTCTGTATTTGGTTTCTCCCGCGTGGAGTTCAGACATATCACAAAGACTAGCATGAATACCCTGCAAGTTTGCGGTGGAGTACTGTTACATGGTGCATAATCCAGGCGCATTCTCTACAACGGCGTCACTTCTCGCTTTGCCTGTGATAAAGACAGTGTGAGGCGGAGTGCATTACACATGTCGAGTAATCAGGCCATGCCCTCCGCAAAAAGCAATATAGATCCGGCTCGGTCCCGCGTCTGCATCCCGCAGCTGCTCTTTAATTAAATTTATGATATATCCTCTTTGTTTTCTCCGCAGTTGCTCTCGTTGTCTCTGTAGATCATGGCCCTTTCTTCCTTTGACCTGAGCTACGTGCTGTACGTTGGCGTTGCTTTTGTCGTCGCTCGTATCTTTTACGACCTCTTATTCTCGCCTCTTAGACGCATTCCTGGCCCTCTTGCTGCAAAGTATACGGACTTTTACCGGGCATATCTTGCCACCAAGGGAAATGTCGATGGACACATGCGAGCATGGCATCAGAAATGGGGTTCTGCCGTGCGGGTTGGTCCAAATACGATCAGTATCAGTGACCCAGATCTGATTCGTGTCATTTACACGACGAGAAACCCTTGGCGAAAGGTAGGAACCCCCTGGCGAATCTGTGGATTGAGATGGCTCAATGGGTTCTGACTGTCCTAGACTAATATGTACCGCCCGAATGATGTCGTCGTCAATGGCCAGCGCATGCAAAACATCTTCAACACTGCAGATGAAGACTTTCACACCAAATACACCAAACCCATCCGGGGCTTCTGGACGCTGCCCAAGATGTTGGAGGCTGAGCCCATCATGGACGAGACCCTTTTTGAGCTGATTACTCACCTCGACAATCGTTTTGCCAGCACTGGCTACGTCTGCAAGATGGATGAATGGGTTGCTTATTACGCTTGGGACGCTGCTGCTAACATCAGCTTTGGTCGCAACTACGGCTTCATGGACCAAGCTGCTGACGTCGAGAACATCATTGCAGAGAGCACGGCTGGACTCAAGTATTTCACACCCGTCAGTCAGATCCCGTGGCTTGACGAGTGGCTGGACAAGAACCCCATCTGGCGCATTGGCCCTCGCCCTCTTGTCAATGGCGTATTGTACACCGTCAAGATTCTCACAGAGTATCAACAGCAAGTAGCCTCTGGCGCTGCCAAGCGTAAGCCCGTGGATCTCTTCATCGACAAATATAACAGCTTGAAAGAGACTGTGGATTATGTTGATGACCAACAGATTCTGAACTGGCTTATGCTCAATGTCTTGGCCGGCGGTGACTCAACAGCTGGTGCCATGCGTGCTCCGGCTTACCACCTACTCAAGAACCCTTCTGTCTGCCAGAAGATGGTCTCCGAGCTCCGTTCTGCCAATTTGACTCTACCAGTTCCTCAATGGAAGGAGATCAGTCAACTACCCTATTTCGACGCAGTTATGCGTGAGTCTATGCGAATCTCGCCAGCTGTCGGTCTTATTCTTGAGCGCGAAGTTCCAAAAGAAGGCCTCGAACTTTCAGACGGTCGCTTCATTCCCGCTGGAACAAAAGTCGGAATTAACCCTTGCGTGATCACTCGCGATGTTGGTGTCTTTGGTGAAGATGTCGATACCTTCCGGCCTGAGCGATGGCTTCGCAGCAAGGGCGAATCAGAACAGGGGCATGCTCAACGCGTGCGACGGATGCACGAGTGTACTGAGATGATGTTTGGACATGGCTCGCGAGTTTGCATGGGTAAACACATGTCCAAGTTGGAGATGTACAAGATGTTCGCTACGCTTTATGTGAACTTTGATGTAAGTCTGGTCATCTCCTTAAGCTATCAAGATCAAGTATTAACCGAAGACATAGGTTCGTATTACCGATCCGAACCATAGATGGAAGTATGATAACTCCTGGTTTATGTATCACAAAGACATCCCGTGTACTATTAGTCGCAGACAAATGTCGTAAGCTTGACGTAAATTTATTTCATTTATGTTTTGTATTCGGTTCGCGGATGTATACTGCACGGAGAACTAAATATTCCAAGAAAGTAAAGTGAATCTCTTACACCACTTCTGCTGCTACCTAGAAACAATGATTGTGACTTAATTAATCTTTGTAATGAGTCATATTACGTTAAGGCATATGCCTCTATGAACGTCACCTAGTAACCACAATTAGAAACTTGACGATAATCCGTTGTGCAACTCCACAAAGCCATCAACTACATGGCCCGTGCCAAAACATCTTTCAAATGCATTTGAGTATGCTTTCAATTATGCATTAGAATGTATTGCTGCTACCTCCCAAGATCAGCGTTATCTGGGAGTCTTCATTCAGAGGTATTAAAATATTCCATATCTTTATCTTCTTATTATAGTGGTTTGAAGCACTTCTTTATAATCCTGCTCCCTCCAGTAGAATCTTACAGGAAAAGACCACCATAAATTTTCTCCCTAAATAGTTTTGCAATATTCTTTTAGGTATGCAGGATATGCCTATTACGTCCTTCTGTGACTCTGAAGTATGAACGTATTTATATATAATAAACACTATTTTAAACACAATAAATACTTATTATATACGATATATATTCGATTATTCACGATAAAAACCTAATTATTCCCAAATATAACGTAAGTTATGTACAGTATACTTCGCTAAGAGAATATAGTAGGTAATCTTATCCATATCTGTTAAAATTGAGTTAAACGCCATGCACTATAGCTTGCATCTCTATCTCTAAACCACCGATTACTGCTTCTTTGAATTGCTTTTGGGTCTCAGCGTCTTCTAGAGAGGCACAATAATCGTCATAAAACTTGATACAATATCTCACAGCATCACCGTACCTCCACGATAACCTTCCACGATCTGTTAACTGGCCAAGCCACCTTGAGGCTGTCAGATAATTCGATGAGGCATTGAGCGTTCCATCGGAGCCTAGATCGTCCGGATGTCTGTGACACTCAATCGGTGTTCCTGTCTTTATTTCCATGAGCATGATGGCAAGGCCAAGCATAATATGGTGCTCAGTTTGCTGATATCTTGGAGGTAGCGCTAGTTGACCCCGTAAGCTCATTGAAACCCATAGGATTTTATCTGAATACCTGTTTCATAATTCATGGTGAGATACGGATAACGCACATCCGCTGATGTCTCTCCATCGGAGCCAGGCCGAAAGAACATGATATTTTGTTTGTTCCAAGATCGGTGAAGCCAACAAGTGTCTCGAAGCTGAAGGACAGATGACGCCAAGGTGATGGCGAGGCGGTAGAAGTCAGACAAGGCAAACGATTGCTTTCTTAGTTCTGGTAACAGATCATACAGACTGACCCCTGTTTCCAGCAAATGACGGTGTGGATTGTCGGGTCTATCAAGGCGATGCAGAACGTTGTGGCTATCAATAAGAAAGCTTAACTCGGAATGAGCGGTCTGTCGAATGAATGTGCAGATATCAGTGACCTCTTGGGAAGAAGGCCCATCAACGGGCACATGAGAAGGCTGGAAACGAACGCGACGATTGCGACTCTTCCTTCTACTCCTAGAGGTCAGTCCAGCCAATACCATACTTAACGAGACATTCTTACCCTGGTTGATACATTCCATCTGGGTCCAAGCGAAATTCAGCATTCAGCCACGTTGCCACGGTGTCTCTCCAAAGCGAGACACTGAAGTGCCCAGCATTTCCATATGGACGGGTTGCTCCAGATCTGTGGGTTATAGACTTCCGAGACAGCCTCTCCTCTAACATTATGGCAGCCTGATGGTTACAGTCACCAAGGGCGCACCAACTGCTGGACGGGGTATCATGGACTCTCGAAGCATTTCTGGAGATATCTTCCAAAGACCCCACGAAACCAACCTCCACTTTCCCGCCCGTTTCTACGGCTTGCAGTGTCTCCGTGAGCTGGTTGGAGGCTGTCAAGATCCTGTGCAGTCTAGCATTGCACTCGGCCAGTTCCTTGATTTCTGTTTTAATCTGCTGGCGTTTCCATGCAAACTTGGCCCGCTGTTGTAGTTGGACAGTCTTTCCCGAACATGCGTTCTGAGAAAGAGTAAGACCTTCCTGTAAGAAGACTCCCAGTCCTTTCTTCACATCCTACTTGGATTAGTTACGCGATCATGAAAACTTGAATGAAATGCTCCAACAGACCTCTCCTGCGACAGCCATATCAAGGCTTGACGCGATAGAAATGATGATAGTTTCTATCTCTCGTAGCATGCTTATCAATAGCGTGTAAGCCTTGCCAAGCTTCTGTTCCAGCGTTTGGAGGAATCGGCCATCATTCCACATAATATGTCGAGGGTTTTCGATCATTTGTAACTGAGCTTGTGGTTTCGCAGTGTCCTTGAGTAGCAGCCGCATGTTCATCTCAAAGTCCACAAGACATAACGATAGTTGTCGAATCATCAACGATTTGGCTTTTTGCCACCGGAAAAATGCCAGTGTATGCTCCGACAGTTCATTTCGATACTTCAGGGCTGATATAACAAGAGGTATTACCCCCAGAATGAGGCCAGCAACTTCAGCCATATTCTGGGTAAAGGCTCGACGCTTGCTAGGCTGTTTTTTGCACTGCACGAGATGCAAGAATTATATCAACTATGTGACAAAGCATTGAAACGGGAAATTGATGCGACTGGGTTTACCGATGAGGGGTTAAAGTCATGTGAGCCAACCGGCAGAAGCCACGCATCGTTGTGATACTCTCAAGTGTAGTACAGACTGGAAGCGATAGCCCAGGATACGTGGATTTGATATTCCCCTCATTATCCATCTAAATATACCTAGACTGAGTTCCATTGAACCAAATACGCCCAACGTAGAAGAACAGATGATTATGAACCCTGTTGTTGTGCTTTAATGCAATGGATCCCGAATATAACAACTCTCTCGCCTCTGCGACAAGGCACTGCCTCCTGTCTTTCGATACGATGCTACGCTCCCTGAGGAGTGCATCTGATGTTCACAGTAGATCTCTCTCGGAAAAAGCTCTTTCAAACCAGAAGGATCGACTCAGCATCTGGGCCAGTAACATTGGGGCCCTTCAGAGCGGGAATGGTGCTCTTGATGTCAGGCTAAGGGGGTTTTCAGTTATGAAAAGAGCAATTGTCCAGTGTTTTGAGCAGCTGGAACAAGTGATTCACGGTAGTAGGTGGAGATCACTTAGAAAAGAAGAAATTTGTACTCACAAAGAATAAAGGCATCGAAATTCTGCAGGGACGCCGATTGCCCCTAGAGCAGACGTTTGCAGAGTTCGAAGAGCTGTGGGATAGTGCATCGGACGACAACTTTGACCTTGAGAATAAAGAATATCGAAAGACTGAGTTGGGACAAAATCTATTGGAAATATCTTCGATACTTTCTGATCTCTTCAAACTGTCTTTTAAACTAAGAAACACAGCTAGTAGATCGACTGGGCACCCGATCTTGAGGGCTATTTCATACCAACGGATGGTGAGGGTTGGCGAGTCCGATGACAGTTTTGAGGTGGATATCTTCAACCTATATGCTGAGTTTGATCGAGCGTACGTGGAAGATTTAATCGCCTGTTGGCGCTGGGACTCATGGCTCCGGGGTTCTCCCCAACGTCTTTCAGCAACCACTCTAGATTGTCAGGAGAAATCTTACGACGATTCGGAGAAAGTAAAGACCTTGGTGGCTAATCGCAATCTTATAGATCGATGGATCAGATCTATCACGAACCGTCGCCGTATGTTTGCTTATTGGGAAAGACACGCAAAGAAATTAGCAAAATCTGATGGCAATATAACCGCACCAGAGCTCACAATGACAACGCGCCAGCCAGTTGAGGCGAATGTGATTCCAGAACCTATAAAAAGGCTAAAGTCTAGTGAAGGTGGAATCGCGTTGCACGTGGCGGAAACTTCAGTATTGTCCAACACAGAACACACTTTAGTCAATCGCGATCTGGATGCTGTGGCTAATAATAGGTCGACAGTATCCCGTATTTCAACGGCATACAACATTGACGAGACCTCTTCGTACCTCCCGCCTGCTCCTGTTCTGGACCCAGGACAGCTCGAGGCCCGATGCCCCTATTGCCATATTGTCTGCCCTGCCAAGGAGTTTCAAAACAGCCGCTGGAGGTGCTACTTTAACAAATGTTAACACAAGATCCTATGCTAACATTTGACTCAGAAAGCATATAATACAAGATCTCCAGCCTTACATGTGCACTTGGGATGACTGCCCAGATGCCGATACCCTGTACGGTACTCGCTCTGCGTGGTTGAGTCATGAAGCCCAGGTCCATCGGAGGATCTTTCGTTGCTTCGAGCATCCAGAGAGTTTTTTGTCAAGAGAATCACTCAGAAACCACCTTCTGTTGTCACACCAAGAGCTTGGGGAAGGTCAGATTGAGGCAATGGTGGATTTTGGGCAGGGTAGCCATCCGGAGAACAGAGCTTCGTGCCCCTTTTGCCTGTCAGAGGGACCTTTTCTCAGAGGCTTACCCAACCACATGGCATATCATCAAGAGAGACTAGCCTGCTTTTCTGCTACAAGACAGTCACTTGATCAGGACACAGGCCTTTCTGGAGATACTGATTCCGACAAAGCCCAAGGGGACAGTGATCCAGACCCTATGGAATTGCTCGAGTCAGAAGCTTCCTCGGAGCAATCCAGCATAATTAAGGACTCGGAGGATCTCAAAAAGAGCCGATCGCAGACCACTCTGACTCTTGGAAAAGCCATTCGCCAGGCATTGGTACAATCAACCTGCCCTGATGAAGATGCTGATCCGGACCCAGCCATAAGCTTTCCTGCGCCCAAGTACCTCCCGATTGACGAATTAAATCGGATCATAAACCATCAGTCCATTTCAGAGGAGTTAGATCGACTAGAATTGTTCAAAGAGCCAGAACTTTCGAGAAGAGCCTTGGAGATCCAAGGTGAAGAAGGATTTAGCAGACAAGAGGGACTAGATTCTGACCAAACCGACTCCATGGGTAATATTTTCAAACACCCAACCCGGAAGAAAATCTTTGCATGTCTTGTTCTCTTGGGAAAAGTCGCCGCTATCACCCAGGTTCTCGACGAAGGTCTTTCAGATGCCGACCTTCCATTGAATTTAGACCCAGATCGTGTCAAGCTGGTCAAAAGAGACAGAACATTTGCAGAACCTATCGCGGCATTCCACAACTGGATGGAACATGAGGCCTACATGTTTTATACCTACCAATGGTACATGTTGGCGCCGTACTTTATCCTCGCTAACGGTGATGAGCCGGGGATTACACACTGCACAATTAGCTGTATGATTCCGCTCCCGTTTAATGCTACCAAACCCATTCCAAATAGCGCCACGAGTCCTATGTGTGGATACCTCGGTATGCAGAAGATCACAATTCATCATGCTCACCATAGCCAGGGAGATCTCAAGGTAAGCAATTCTGGAAATGTCAACTGACACTTGGCTTATCAGCACTGGTTTGCAGCGATCGAATCAGAATGTCTTCGCCGTGAAGGTTCTGCGAGATATTGAAACCAAAGAACATGATTTGAGGTTTGAATCTTTACTCAACCTGGCAAAAAAACGCCACCCTCACTTGCTGCAACTCCTTCTGGGCTTGACGCATGGCCGCACAAGATCTTTTATTTTTCGGTGGGCCGACTGTGACTTAGAGCAGTTCTGGGCCGGCAACACCCCTGACAATGATGCAGCTGACATGGCTAGATGGATATCATCACAGCTTTTTGGTTTGGCTGATGCTTTGCAACTGATCCGAGACTTGTTCCCTTCAGGGGTACTGCCACAGAATGACCACAGACTACAACCACCACACAGGGACCTCGGCCCAGAGCGTATTCTATGCTTTGACACCAAACGCATCACTCAGTGTGTACTCAAGATTGCAGATTTCGGGTCTATGCAATACCACGACGATCAAGTCCATCACCAACGAGGCTCTGAGACATGCATGGGCTCGGCCTACCGCGCTCCAGAGCTACAGACTGGTGAACCGGCTGAAAATTCGGATTTATGGTCCTTCGGATGCATCATCCTACACTTCATAGTCTGGTATCATGGCGGTTGGGCACTGGTGAATTCATTGTCAGCTTTGAGCTCCGCCGAAGAAGAAGAAGAATGTTTCGGTGCTTATACTGATGATGATAAGTTCTTCAAGTACGGAAACTTAATGGCCACCCAGCCTGACGGTGCAGTAATTGGCCAGGGAAAGGATGTCCCAAATACTATAGTATTGAAAGAGTCTATTAAACAAGTATGTTGGAATCCTTGAGGCGATTGATATTCTTCGCTTACAAGCAACAGGAAATATCAAAATACCTCGAACAAGGCAAGAGCCAGTTTGTTCGCGACATCATTGGCCTGGTCAAGAAAGACCTTCTTCAAGCAGATGCTGGGGAGCGGGCAACTTGTAAGGCTGTTCGAGATGGCTTGAAAGAACTACACAAGAGGTGCACCGAAAGTGATGCGTACTGCAAAAGCACACTTTCAAGTTGAAGGACAAAAAGGTATGGCTGGTCAAGATTGGATTTAGAAGGTTCAGTCTTAATGTAACAGATTGATTCCATCTTCGTGAACCATAGCCCAAGTAGATGTTACCAGGAAGAGAACTTGAAGACAGCATCATCACCTATCTTCGTTAAGGGCAAGTTGTGAATGAGTTGATTTAGACGATAAGCTGAACAAAGAGATTGCCAATACCTCCTGAATGCTATTCCTCAGCCCCAGCTGGTAATTTATAGGCATCGGTATCAGATTGGAATTACCAGATAGTTCAACACTCTTCGACAAATCGACTCTACAGCTGATGATTATCCCCGACGGGTCCTTGCTCATTGCAATTAACCATTCGCAGTGATTTCATGTGCCAACGCAAGACCAGTGCGTCATCCCCGAAGAACTTCCCTCCAAACTTGGAACATTGTAGGTGAATGACTGTGTGATATGCGTGATTGAGTTCATACTTGAGAGTGATTGAATGTGGCATTGAGAGTGATTGAATCTGCATTGAGAGTGATTGACAGGACGAAGATAAGTATAACATACTCAATGCATCCTGCAATGTCAAAAAAAAAAAAATCTCTAACTCTCACGATTCATTTTTTGTTCAATCTTCATACTACCACTCATCGTACGCAAACTCAATTACAGTTCACAAGAATATCAGAGCCCCTGTCTACACCTGTTCCACGATGCGCTCCAACGTCGAACATGATGACACAAGATCTTCTCTACATACCCTCCTGTGGGAAAGAAAGTCTCGGCACAGCGACCCGCGATTGCAGTTCTACTGGCCATATGAACTGTTGATTAGTCTGATGACTCCGAGCATTGTCTACAGCGAACTCATCTCGTCATCAATAAGGGAGAGGAATGTAGCAAAATACCGAGACCTCATTCTGGGTCGCTATGGGAGCCGACCAACAGCCTCGCCCAAGACCTATCGCCGCATCCTCGCCATCCTCGTCTTGCAAAGCCGTGTGAGCGACCTTGACATGTTCCTGAGAGAGAAGCTTCACGATGGACTTTTCCCGTTAGATCGTTCTGGGGGTCGCGAAATTGCTGAGAAATGTTTTGAATCACTTGATTGGGATGATAAGGATATTGATTGTTTTAACAGTACAGAACTGAAAATCGGTCAGTAGTGTTGCTGAGGGAACAAAAGAAGAAAAAAATAAAAATAAAAAAATAAAAAGAAAAAAAGAAAGAGAAAAAAAGAAAGAGAAAAAAAGAAAGAGAAAAAAAGGGATAATGACTGACATGTTGTCGTCTTACACAAAAAGTTATCAAGACAGACTTCAATAAAGAAGCGATTGGTTTTCACCGCCTGCAATCCTTCCTGGAGGAACAGTATGCCTTATTGCGTAAGTTGTAACCTAGATATGTTATTTATAGTTGAGACTTATGGTTTAGAGCTTAAATCAGCAAGGAGAACTTGGCTTCCTTCAGGAAACCAGCGAAGTTCATCAAGTTATGGTACATCATCTGTATTGTCTATCTCTCCCCTTATCCTATACTTATCCCATCGTCCACTTCCCAGTGTCCCTGTATTCTTTTCCTTTACCAACTCACCCAAATATCAATCAGATGGCATCTTCTTGAGCGAAGAATCGCTTGGCCCATCGGAGCTTGGAAGCAGCTCGCTTGGCGTTTCCTCCGAATCCGCCAAAGCCACCACCGCCGCCGAATTGTCCTCGACCCTGGCCCCCGCGGCCTCCTTGGTTACCGCCGTTACCTCCCTGGTTGTTACCGCCGTTCTGGCCGCCTTGGCCACCATTGCCTTGTCCGTTACCCTGGCCGTTGCCTTGACCTTGTCCGTTACCGCCATTGCCCCCGTTGTTACCGCCGTTATTGCCTCCATTGTTATTGTTGCCGTTACCGTTACCACCGTTATTTCCACCATTGTTGTTATCGTTGTTGTTGTTGTTGTTATCATTGCCTGCATCACCTGTCTCGGTAGCCGCAGGAGGTCGTCCAAGAGCAACAGAGGGTGTCTCAGTAGCAAAGGCCGAAGTGACGATGGTGTTGCCAAGAAGAGCGTCAACGGCAGCCTTGTTCTGCTCAGCCTCGTCGTTGGTAGCGTTCTCGTTTGCCTTGACGGAATCAGGGAAGTCCTTCTGGTTCTGGAGGACCTGAGCGTTGATAGCTTGTAGCTGTTGAGTAGTCTTGATGTTCTGAGGAGTGTTGGTCTTCTTATCGGTATCGGCTTGCTGAACGGCGAAGCAGCCACCAAAGGGACCAGCAAGAGCGTTGTTGCGGCATCGGACGGTGCAAATGTTGCCAGTGGAGGCTGTTTGTGTTAGGTATCACTGATTTGTTATGGAACTTGAGCATGCTTACCTCCAAAGCAGTTGAGGTCATCAGGCATCTTGACCGTGATGTTGAAAGCCTGAGTCTTAACCTGAGAAAGGCCGTTTGTTCCGGGGACATTATTTGTAACGGTCAAGTTCTGTTCACTATGTTAGGGGATTCTCTAAGTTGCTGCTACGGCAGATGACTCACCTGAATGTTGGTGTTGGTGTTGCTGCTCTCATCCAGATCACACACGTATGGGCCAGCACCATCGGCGTTGACCTGATGAATAGTAACGGTGAGCTCACCACCAGCCTCAACCTGAGTGACCTTTCCAGCAGAAATGGCATTCTCGGTGTTTTCTCCGACGTCAATGTTACCAGACAGCTCAGTGCGGCCACACTGGTTGACGATGTTGGCGGTGATCTCTGCATCACGAATGATAGTGGCATCCTGCTGGCAAGGGTTGATAGTGATACAGTTACGGGCGATCTCGGGATCAACTGGCGATCTGATTAGTCCCAAGCCAATCAAGCACTCTAAATATCATGCATACCTTGGAATCCTACACTAGCAGGAGAAGTATCGAGACCTTGGGCGTTGAGAATGACAGAGTGCCCATGAGCCAAAGCAAAAAGCGAAGGAAAGAGAAAGCTCTTTAGGAAATGCATCTTGACAGTTAAAAGATAAGGTAAAAAATAAATGTGCCGGCACAAAGAATAGTAAAGTTGAGAAGAGAAGAAGAAGAAAGAAAAAACGATCACCAGGACCTAACTAGAAGAGAAGACTTTGCTGTAGAAGCTGAAGCTGATGATGACAAGACAACAACTCACCTGTCGTATGTCGTACGAGTATATATACATTTTTCGCGTCCAAGAGATTCTCGATATTTTAATCTCAGTTTCGCGTTCGCTGGCGAGGGTTTCTGCTACGGCCCCTGTATCAAAAACAAAGTGGAGGCTGTGTGAAGGAGGCACGTTTAAACGCCCAGGGTCGTGTAAGCGGGCCGACCTAAGTGGGTTCTTGCTCGCTTCAAAGGCGACACATGTTTCATCGACTCTTAACAAGGTCACTATAGACGGACTGTTTTGGGGGCATATTTTGCATTGTTATGATTTACTGCTGGGAGCTGGCGGATATATTGTCTCGAAACACTTGTATTTCCGATGATAATCGAATGATGATCATATCACCTGGCAATAGACTTTCTGATAATGCAGGAACCGAAGGCAACGATGTAATTTTGGTTCGTGTTTCGCGAGGACTGGTTTAAAACGCAGATGTATTGGCATGCATCTCCAGCTGGGCCAAATACCATGCTTTTGCTTACATCCAGATTGATAACCATCCAACTTGATCTCAAAACCTTCACCATACTACTCACATGGCATCTCCGTTTCTTGGCCATCACATACTTCATCAGCCAAATCGATATGGTTGAGTCCACTCTTGAGAGGCTTGACGCAGCTCTGGTCGCAGCCAAGTCAAGTCTTCATGTAGGGCTCGTCAATGTGGGCGCCTAATTCGATACAGTCAAGGTAGCATCGTGGCAGTTTAGGTTTGCGGTCTGCGGAGCCGCAAATTTAGGAGCCTCGATGGCTTTATTAACCGCTTTGGGACAGGCTCCGTATTGTTGAGAACTTCTTCGACGAGATCTATTTCACTCTCATCGAGAAACCCAAAACGGGTGCGTTGGCTGAAGCAGTTCGGAGTAGTGGCATATTAGACGTAAGCAGCCCCAAGATGGCAGCATTTAGCGAGAATAGATAAGGTTGCAGACTTGTAACATAAGCTTAAATCAGCGTCGGAATCATCGTATGACTAGTTTTAGTATGCAGAAAACCATGCTGGTTTCCCTCAACATGTCAACCGACCTCTCAAAAGAGATTGCTGCAAATTGGTGAACCTCCAGGTCTTAGTCAAAACCATCAACTAGTATTTCGGCCGAAATTTCGCACGAGTTTAATTTTAGATTTTAGGTGACTTGCCCCTGTAGTGTTCCCTCTCAACTCTAATTGGGTAGCTCGGACCACTAACTCTGGTTACCGCCAGATCATCAAGCATCACTTTCCCAAGGCTGTGTTAACAGTCCTTCAGGTTATTCGGGATTGTGATCTCAGTACCTACGCATAATAGAAGTCCATTTTGATTAATATCTCTCAATTTTGAGAGCTTTTTCTCAATTTTGGGCTTCTGATCGCCTTGATAATTCTTGTTGGTGTTAGTGCCCAGATAGGGAACAGAAATTATCCCTATAGTGCTAAATTTCTTATTAGGATAGGGTAGGTAGTCTGAGTCATTATTAACCACCAACAAGATTTATAAAGAATGTTATTGCTCCTTTACTGCACTTTGATAGTAAGAACGTCGATTCGATAGAAAACACTAGACAGAGATGTTCTCTATCGGCATCTGCTAGCGTCTATGGTATCAACGACCATGAAGAACCAAGTCGCTCCTTTGATCATTCCTTGTGGCGCTCATGAATCTGAAACAAAATGCATTGCCGTCATGAAAGGCCAACATGGCTTCGAAAGCCATCACTAGCAGAAGTGCCAGAGTTCCCTCGGATGCGGAATACACCTACTCCAATCTTTTCAATAGCTTCTCAGCTAGCCTTACTAAACCCGAGCTGAAAGATCTACTTAACGACCCCAACGTCGATTTCATCAAAAAAGTCTCCACCATGCATGGAGCATCTACCCAGAAAAACGTACCCTGGGGTCTAGCTCGTATTTCCAACAAACCACCAGGCAAGGATCATACAACTTACACCTATGACGAAAGTGCCGGTGAAGGCACATGCACTTATGTTCTTGACACAGGCATTGAAGTCGACCACCCTGGGAGTACCTTACCTTAATCGTTTATGCAAGGCGGTGAAATGAAACAAGCTAACCCAAAGAACAGGAATTCGAGGGCCGCGCCAGATTCGTGCAGAACTTTGTTGATAACGCTGACTTAGATGCTAATGGTCATGGGACTCAATTGTGGGCACCATTGGGTCTAAAACGTACAGTGTCGCAAAGAAGACGCAGCTCTTCGCTGTCAAGGTCCTAAATGCGTATACAGCGGGTCAGACGTGAGTTCACTCATCTTTTTGGGATCATGTGAGTGTTACTGAAAATAATTCGCCGCAGATCGGGAATTCTCGCTGGCATGGATTTCATCGTTGAAGATGCTGCTACCCGAAAGTGTCCCAAAGGCATTGTGGTCAACATGTCTCTTAGTGTTGCTTCTTCACCTGCTATAAACGCAGCTGTTAGATATATCGTTAAACCGGGTTGTTTTCTCGCTTCAGCAGCTGGCAACGACGGCACCGACGCGTCTCACGTTTCGCCAAGCAATGAACCTATGGCCTGTACTGTTGGAGCAACCGGCCAGAATGAAAACAGAGCCTCATTCTCCAATTACGGTGTTTCTATAGACGTTTTCGCCCTGGTGTTGACATCAAGAGCACCTGGATCAAGGGAAGTGTCAAACTCGAGTCAGGCACATCAATGGCAACAGCACACGTCACTGGCCTGGCGGCTTATCTGTTGGGCCTCAAGGACATCAAGGCATCAGAATTATGCAACCTTATTGCAACCATGTCTCTGGAAGACGTCATCAAGGGTATTCCTGAAAACACGGTCAACCTGTTAATCCAGAACAGCGAAGCGAAGTAAGCGCACCTATCAGTACCAGGTTGAAGGGTCGGATGATAAGGCCATTACGGCCGAAGGGAATGACTCGAGTCAGTTTCACGCGTTTCATAATCAATACACGAGCATGTCATTGTTTTAAGCTTCTCGAAAATGGTTATTTTGGCGAAAAGCCACAGCCGCCTGTCACGCCCTATTCGGCTATTTCCGACGATACATCGAATGATAATCCCACCAATGGTGTCTGGGAGCTGAATGACATGCATTTAAACGCCGAATCTAGAAACACTTCTCTCACAGTTCGATCCGACCTAAGCGGCGTGGCAGGCCTTGGCATCGGACGGTTTGTAGTTTCGTTTGTGTTTTGATTCCTTATCTGCTGTGATTCGGTTGGCTGGAAAATAATTTGCTTGTCGAAATATGGAAACGTGTTTTACTAGGGTGGCTGGCGGGTGTTTCAAGGGGGTATAGTATTTGCCTAAATGTGTCATGTGGTTTTTGGGTGGGAATAATTCGCTAAAAATTGTGAAACTCTGCGGATGAGATTGCGCTTTGGAGTACGATTTCATGTAACCTCGGCAAAGCTGAGGTGGGATAAAGTCAAGCTATCTTGGGATCTAAAATAAACGAACAAGGTTCAATGGGATACATGAAGGGATTACAAAGTGACCAAACCTACAGTATGCTAGCCTGGAGCATGCAGTCTAGCACTCTTTTCCCATTGTTGTTTCAGTATATATTGAAAATGGGAAACTCACTCAAAGTACCTTAAGCCTTACTTCTTTATTTAAACACGATTTTTTATATCGGCTTATGTACTATGCGGAGTAGTTATATTCATGGCTTCGAGTTGGATGGGAGGCTGGTCTATGCCCCTCAAAGCTTTGTAGAATATAAGGCTATAGTTTTTCATAATATCAGCTTTTTGCTGCAGCAATTGGTTAGTAATTATGGTATTATATCTAAGTTGTTTTCCAGACTTGTTACTTGTAGTTGAGACCTGTGGCTAAGAGCTTAAATCAGGAGATAGAACCTAAAGTATAAGGCTATGCGCTGTCCTTCTAAGTATTGACCCAACAGGCGGACGAGCCTTGCATACTAGCGGCGGTAGGCTCTAATCTTGATGCATTATTTGTTGATTCTGACAAGAATATCAATAAGCATTATGATATAAGGCCCAAATTGTGAGCTAGATGCAGTTGAGCCTCGTGGCTGATGGGTTCACCATGCAGAACTTAGATCGCCACTGAACTTTGATCACAAAGCATACCAACAGAAATAACTCAAAAGGAAACTTAAAATCACAATTTCTGCCTATAAATTTGGACGTGACCGCCTTATCGTGCCCTTTCTTTTTTACCTCTTCACCCTTTGTATCTTTGAGGAAGAATCAACCTCAAACCCGGAAACAACAACATTACTACAGCCTCCATAACCTCGGCAGAAGTCTGACCAAAATGTTACCCGTGGAATCTAAAGATCTCGAACGTCTTGTGAAGCTCAACTCGATTCTTATTCTCGATGTTGACTGCTGGGGCGCAAGCTATCTTCGCAACATCCTGGCCCACGGTTCCGCTAACATCACGACGAAGCAAGGCAACAAAACTCTGCCGCCTGAACTATGGTTGGATATTATAGAACTGGTAGAATACTATATCGATGAGAATACCTATAAGCCAGTTTACGGTGTTGCAATAACTCCTCGGTCTCCGAACGGCAGTTCGAACGGCAGTCCGAACGGCAATGGAACCGAGTTCTCTTTGGTCTGCAATGTCCTTGAAGAATGGACGAAATGCGGGGATCTCAAAGATGGGAACAGGATAAATGCCTACGATAGGCGTCTTCATAAGCCTTCCTATAAACTCGACCCCAAAAAGGATTGGATTGCTAAAAATGAAAAGTATTATTTCGTCATCACCAAAACTGTCCAGGAGGATTCATATTCAATCCCTGTCTCTCACCTACGCTTCGAAGGGGATTTTCTCTTTCGCAAAATCCGGGTTCCAGATATGATTGCACGATGCGAAGATGGAGAATGCTCTTTATGTGGCGGCGACCGCTATTTGGATTCAGCCAGACCTTCGAGACGTGAAGAAGCCCTCATGTTCTGTAATGAAACAGAGTTCCATCGGCAATGTTATTGGCATGGCGTTGTCTGTCCGCTGTGTATCGGAGGAGAGTATGCAGATGCTTATCTTGAGATTCTCAAATCACGCTGCAGAAATTGCGACTACGATGATGATGATGAGGAAGAGGAAGAGACTGAAGAGGAAAGGGCCGAGAAGAAGAGGACCAGAAATTGGATTCGTGAGCGATACCAAAAGCTGGGATACGGTCGATTCAGTTATTATTCTAATTCCTGATCTACTTCCTTTGGATATCGCGAGCCTTTAGGCCAGAGCCACTCCGAACCTGCAACGAATACATGACTACCTACCCTATATTTCTAAATAATAATTAAGTCTGAAGCACTGTCAGGTCTCGGCTCACACGATTGATAAGTTACGAGAGGTGGTGGTGGTGAATGGGGCATGGGATGGGACGCTCCACAGCGAAACATGCCTTTATGACGTACGGATACTTGTCAAAGATGGCGAAGGGGAGACAAGCCCCTATTTGCGCAGGTAGCTATGACTGGTCTTTTCAGAAAATTAGTACCATGAAGCGTGGGGTCCCAAGCTATCATTCAGGGCCCATCCCTGATCAGGAGTTGAACGTCATGGCATCAACAATCGTGGGGGAAGGGTCGCGTAACCCCGCGTTTACTTCGGACTATATATACTGAGTATCCGACATATGGGAATCTTGTATTCTCTCTCAGGAGTCTATTGCGGCTTAGGGACATTGTGGACTGTATGTAGGTAGTCATGGTATACTGTCTAAGTTGTGAGCTAGAAGTGTTATTTGCCGCTGAGACCTGTGGCTGAGAGCTTAATCCAGCCGAGAGAACCTAGTAGGTAGTCATGATGATTGACACTAATAAACTAAGATCATCCCGCCCAGCACCACTCTCAGCCAATTGAATGTGTCGCTTGTTGTTTCCCAAACGGTACATAGCTTCGTAGATCGCCGTTGACCAATTACATGGGTGATGAGACTACGTATTATCATCAAATTCCCTCCATCTAAGCGAACAAGTGCCAACCCTTGCCAGCTGTATAGGCAGATCTGGCAAGGTCAATCACCACTCGCGCATAGCTTCGGCCCCAGAGTGCCTGCCATATGACTGATACTGGGTATTCAGTGCCTAGGTACTCGCCAGGGAAGAAGTTCGGTACATCGAAGAGAATGTGATCAGAAGCAATCTAGTGAGTATAGTAAACTTGAGCACCATTCCTCGTTACATTATTCCATTCGCTCTACATACTGTACATTTATACGAAAGAGAGATGTTGTCCCCAATAGATTTCTACAATTTACACCTTAACTCCACAGCAACCTATTACGCCTCGCATGAAAATGGTGTACGGAAGGCTCCGATCTCATAATGATGTTGCTGCAGTACGTGTCAATCAAAAGTTCTGAGTAAGATGAATAGAAGACTTACGATATCCAAAGCTGTGGCATATGTTCCTCCAATGAGAACCAAAAGGCCGAAGAGAAAGGTAAAAATGCAAGCAATGGCATGGAGAATGTTCTCTCTAGCATACCACTTGCCCCTGCAAATGAGCTTGTACCACATAACTGCTGGGAAGTACAGAATGAAACCAGACACGAAAAGGGCGGAGCTGAGTGAGAGAAGGTCGTTGAAGAAGGGAATTGCCTCGCCGAGAACCCAAGAGATGATCGTGATGCCAGCAAGAGTAAGGAGCCAAGTAACCCAACCCTTGGGCGTATTGACAAAGCGAACGATTGAGTTTTTGTAGAATCTCAGATGGACATATTTGGCTGTGACGGTATTGCCAATGGCTCCCGAGATAAAGATCATGGGTAGAGCCACGCCAAAGGCCACCTTGGGTAAAATGCCAGGTAATGACTGAAGAGCAGGACTGGCCACGTCCTTGCCAACGAAGACATAGATAAGTGAACCGCTGAGGGTGTAGATAAAGATCTCGACACCTCCAAGGGTCCAGACAGACTTCATGAAGTCTTCGGGTGTATGCATCTCATCCATAAAAGGAGTCATGTACATGGCAAAGCAATAAGCAAAGATGATGTTGCAGATGGCCACCATGCCATCCTTGAAAGTGGCATCAGGGTCAGGCCAAGCAGACCAGTCTGAAGCACCAATACCACCGGGCTGGTTGGATGCATTCACGCCGGATGCAATAACTGCAATGCCAATGGCTGTCATGATGCAGACCAGGTCGATGTAACCTAAGATGGCGGCCTCGGCGAACGAAGGCATGATGGCTAGGATGAAGAGCATAAAGCCCGACACGGCGCTGAAGATAAGACCGCAAACTTTATCGTCGGCCAAGATGTTCAGAGCGATGCTGCCCGTGAGGACGAAAGAGGCCGTGATGAGGATGAGTTGCAGCACATACATAGCGCCAAACAATTCTTCACCAAACCTGCCCATGAGCAAGCCGCCGATATCTCCATAATGTTTAATCGAAGGATACAAGACCTTGATCTTTCCAATGATCCACGCTGTGTAGATGGCCATAAAGCCCAGGGCAATACAGCAGAACACACCCGCGACGATGCCGAGTGTCGCAAAGGCGCCTGGAAGACTGAATGTTCCAAGACCAATGGCCTCAACGATGAGGATAACAGCGAGTCGCTTCCATCCTAGACGACGGAAGTGAGCTTCGCCTTCAGCGGTTTTCTGTTTCTCGAAGTCGGTTACTGTGCCGATGGCTTGGTCGTAGGAATGGTCGATGCGAGCGATCTGATCAGAATCAAGGGCAGAGTCTTTGTTGGTCGCGTTCTTGGACGCAGTCTGCGGTGTGATGGTATCCATGATGAAGTCTCAGTCTCAACCACCAGGGCAAGTACTAGAACAACAATAAGAGCAAATAGGATGATAGTAATGAACAAGGAACAAGTCAGAGTTGTCAACTCTGCCCTCTGGAAAAAAAGAAAAGCAAAGATCCCAGATTTAAATGAACGCCAAGGTCTGGGGAATCTCCTCTTCTCCACGCTGGGGTAAAAGCCCGCCGGTGGAAGTTGTACGTAAAAGAAGTTGATAGCGAAGATTCCATTACACAAGACGATCCCGCGCAGTGGAGTTTTAAGTGGTAACTTTTACGTGATGCGAATTTGGCCGGCGGCGGCCGAGGCGCGCGTAGACTTTCTTAGATGCGGCTCCCCTCGGGATAATTTACGTGTCTGGTTATCCTGACTAGAGGCTTGGTGTAATAGTTGGGTAAGACATGTCCGTGCTATCTAGAGCTAAACTTGTTTCTTGTGACGCTGTGATGATACGGTTTAAAGTAGTGGAATAATACGGCCTCGGAAGGTCGGTGGTTTGCGAGGCATCACGATGCATCACCTGTTGGAGCTAGAGGAAAATATCTGCACGACGGCGGCATTTCTAGTCTAGAATTGTTCTAGAAGGAGGCTTAAAAAGTTTATCATTGCGAGAAAAGTCAATTCAGCTCCGATGACGCCCAGGAGAAGGTTTTGCACGGCGTGATGCGCGAAACAGCCGGTTCGACTATACCCGGGCGTTATATCCGGCTTGACAAGACAAAGGGCGTCCTAGCCAAATGAGAAAACCTTTTGCGGCCAATCGCTTGTGACATATCTCGATAAATTCTTCATTAAGGCCCGAATCGAATGTTTCTTTATCTCTAGATCATGCTTGGAAATACTTTATTGTCGATAAGCTTAGTTGTCTGTATTTGTCGGCATAACAGAAACTTCTGAGCCCACTCGCTTTTGTTCGAGCGTTTATGATTTGACTAGGTCCAAGCTGGCAATCAGGATAGCCTTTGAAAATCTGTGCTGTGATGTAATTATGTATCTCGCAGTAAATCACGCTCCTTTGTCTAATTACGGCCATAAACAACATTACAATCCGGGTAGGCAGCCTGGTTTGTGAGATTGTGTCCGCAAACAGGCCATGAGATTGCCCATTAATTTGCAAGTACTGTGTGCTGATCTGAGGCCTCAGCCAAAAGTCTCAAACACAAACAACACATCTAACTCACAACTTGGGCATTATACTAAACTGGACAAACATCAAGATGATAGCAACAGATCACTTAGGCAGGATAGGCAGCAGGCTGGGTGAATTATTGCAATTTACATATAAAATCTCCTGGACTTTAAGTACCTACTCAGACTTATCAACTAATCTGTTCATGACATAGCCTGGCCCCGTCTCCTTTACCAACAAATATTAAACCAGTGTTCTCTCTCTGTCTCTTGCTCAGTATCAGCATATGACAAGATTCGGTATCCGTTTTCGCAATGGTCCACGTATCTGGGTTTGACATGGTTCCTCGCCTCTCAGGGTATGAGGACCAAGAGTTATGGGAAGAATTCATCGAGCACGTCCAGACCGTCTACAAAGATGAGAGTACATTCAAGATCGATGCCTACTACATGGTATTTGAAGAAGGGAAACAACTCCTCCTTCCTTTCGAAGGCCACAAGTTTCTGCGCTTCAGTTCTATACCGGATAACGATTCCAGCGTAGAAGACTACATCCGCTTAGTCACGGATATTGCCTCCTATTATTTCGGTTCTCGTGTTCGGTCATGGCAAAGTACACGTGGTGAATCCGGTTACTATTCTGAGGAGGAAGTCAATGACTCCTATAGGCTCTACGAGCAGGTATGTCAAAAAGCTATGCACATGTCCTTCATGTTCTAATGATTCACTCTCAGTCGGATCCACCTAACATTGATTTCGAAGTTGGAGTTATCCCTGGAAAGGGTAGAGGCCTTATCGCCAGAGTTGATATTCCTGCTGGAGCCCTTATCCTTTGCGAAAAGCCACTTCTCGTGGCTAGCACTATGGCCTCAGGCAATTTGGAGGCCACTGCGGCGCCGAGGCTGGAGGACCTGTCCAAGTCACAGCAACAGGAGTTTCTGTCTCTTCACAACAACTTTCCAGGCGAAGACCCTCTCAGTGGGATCATCAGTACAAATGTACTTCCATGTGGACCAGGCTCGATTGTGGGCGGTGTCTATCCCACGATATCCTTAATCAACCACAGTTGTCTGCCGAACTCACACAACAACTGGAACAATGAGATAGGCGGCTACGAGACCATCCATGCTATTGGGCCCATTAAGGCAGGAGAGGAGATTACCATCTCTTATGACGAAGGAGGCCCATCTAATGTGCGAAAACACAAGCTCAACATGTCTTTTGGTTTCGACTGCGCATGCTCTCTATGCTCTATGCCTCCATCGGAACTCCAGGCTAGCGATGATCGTCGAGTGAAAATTCAGCAGCTTTATGCTAGCATTGGAAACGCCTCTACTATGAGAAATAATCCAGAGTCCAGCCTCAAAGACTGCTTGTCACTACTTCATACTCTCCAGGAGGAATACGGTGTCTGTGCCACGCCGTACATGGCGCGGCTCTACTACAACGCCTTTAAGATTTGCATTTCGCATGGAGATGTCGACCGGGCTATTACATTCGCTGATAGATCTTATCGAGCCACCTTTATTTGTGAGGGAGAATACAGTCCAGAGACGTCGAAAATGAAGTCGTTTGTCTTGGAGCCTGAAAAACATGATAGTTTCGGTGCTTTTTCCATGAGATGGAAGACTGGCGAAGAAAAAGCTCCCAATGGTAATGGCACGGTGGAGTTTGAGAAGTGGCTATTTAGACAGGATTCTTGAGTTCATCTTAGCTAGATAGCTATGATACAGACTTCTTATCTATCCCAATTTGTGCTGTAACAATTAGGTAGGCGCTGTGTATAATGTCTAAGTTGTGAGCCAGATGTACTATTTGCAGTCGAGACCTGTAGCAAACAGCTTATTTTCATGAGACAGAACTTAGGTTCGAGCCTCTGTGCTTAGTTGCCAGTATTCTGCTTCTGCTCTTTTGGAGACTCGACATTTTCGTCCACTTGAGCTTGTTTATCAGAAAGTGTAGGATTATGCAGACATAGTCCAAGAACAAGCATAGGCACAACGAGGCATAACGAGACAATACTCAAGTTTCTTTGGATGTATCGATAGCTCATGCCCATAGCCTCTCTCTCAGGCGATCCCAAAGGATATTGAGGGACGACAGTCAAAGGCGAGGCGTACACAGCTGAAGCCAGCGTGTCATTGCCAAATGGTGCAAGGTTTTTCTCGAGCTCTTTGTACAGAGTCTGTGTCCACATGGCGCCAGACACACAGCCACCAATTGCTTGGCCGATCGCGTTTGCAGTGAAAACGAGAGATATCAAGACTCCAATGTACTCGTGTCGCGCGACGGTCTGGATAAGAATAAGCGTTGGCCATGAGAAAAGGCCACCAGCAATGCCCATCAGGACTTCTCCGCCAATGACTCCAGATTTGGAACCAGAGCCACCTCGGAAGTGGTAGATGAGTCCGAATCCGACGAACAAAAGTGCGATACCAGACAAGATGACTTCCTTGAGCCGTCGAATCTTGATGACGATTGGGCCGAGGAGAGAGCCTACAATGATAGCGCAGAACTGATAGAGTAATGCCACTCGGGTAGCGTCCTTGACGGTAAAATTGTAAGATACCACAAGCAAGCTGAACAGATAGCTTCCGATGACCATAAAGGCAATCGGGAAGATAGCACTGATGCCGAGACAACCCCATACAGTTCGGTGCTTGAGGAGGTGAATCGGAAGCATTGGGTGACTTACTTTCCTTTCCCATATGGCGAAAATCGGGAAGAGAATAAGACCGATGATGAGAGGTGTCAAGATGCTGGCATCCCTCCACTTGGCACTCTGTCCGCCTGCCAGCGTGAGAGGGATCAATGTCATAGCCAGGGCAGCTGTCAAGAGCAGCACGCCAACGACATCAAGCTCCCAAAAGATTGCCTTGAGAGATGCAGTCCAAGAGGAAGATCCAAGAGTCTCCTGCTCCAGTCTTGAACGCTTCGTCTGGCGCCCGAGGACGAACATGAAGATGATCAGAGGCAGAGCGCAGATCGGATTGATGATTGCAAACATGCCAATTCCCCATTTCCAAGAAGTTACTGACAGAATAGCGGATGTGACATCTCCACTTATCCAAATATTGACAAGGGCAGGCCAGTTGGGCACAAAAGCAAAGAACAATCTCGTCTTCATAGACGTGAAATCTGCAATCATGATCTCAATAGTGAGGATTGAGATTCTGTACCCGAGCGAATGCAGCACGGCACCACCGGCAAAAGTCTGAATGTTTGCCGAATACGTCTGTATAATCGTACCAACCAAGCTGAAAACGACAGCAAGGGTAAAGATCTCAATGCGGCCAAAGACATCCGTCAACCTGGCAACCGATGGCTGGATAGCACTAGCCACGACTTCACGGATGACAATGACCGTAGCCAGGAGGGAGTGATTGCCGAAGGATGAGGTAGCGTAGGGGACGTAGGTGTTTCGCGTCTGGAAGTCGAGGTTGAGGGCGTAGCTGAAGAAGAAGATGCTGGTGAAAAAGATCCATCGTTTGGGGGTTGTGAGCTTGCTAGCTGCTGCTTCCACGCGCAGGACTCCCGGGAGCTTTGGGGCAGCTTGAGGTGTTATTGGAGGATTGGGGTCATCCTTTTGATCAAGTTCGATGGAGGCCGTTGTTTTGTCCATCGTCAACCGTTCAATAACAGGTCTATGGCTAGGATTTGCGGATGAAACGTGTCACTACTCCTCGTGGAACTCGTAGTTATAAACCACTCACTTATTAAAGGCGCAGAATTTTCTCCCCTGTTGGTCCCGAGGTCGGCTCTCCTAAGTGTCTTGGCGAGCGCTAAAGTGAGGCCATTGGATGTCGCGAGATTTTATGGATGTCCTGATTGAGATTATCTTATCTGATCTAACCAAGCCACAAATTTACAACTCGCCTAAAGAGCGAATAAAGCTATCTGATCAAATTCTTGGCATTACTCAAGTGCCTGCTACCTATGCCCAAAGAAGCTATTCGTGTGATCCAATGCATGATCAGGTCATGCACCACGACATCCTTGTCTGTTCTTGGAGTTCGCCGAATTACGCATCCATCACCTTACAAAATTCTGTGCCGAGTGGCCATGTCTGAGTTCTTTCATTAGCACTGGCGGTTGGAAAGTTATTGGAATTCTAGTTTATACTGATATTGTGCATGGCACTATAGCCTGTATACACCGTGATTGAACAGCACGTTTCACGCAGCTGCTCAACCAAAGTGTATGGATTCTACCCAGTTGTAAAGCAATTTGAAGCACTACAGTGACTTAGACACAAGACCTAACATCCAGTTCGTACACCGGTGTAAAAGGAGCCTGCATTCATAGAGGTTATCGATCAATACGGAACTCCAGCAAGTTTTCCGCGGTCACGTGGACAGCTCCTCTTTTCCTGCGATGCTCCTGGGTGACCTTGTCCTACGTAAGATCGTATATTCAGACAGACACAGCATTAACATGGTATTAAAATGGCAGCTAAATCCGCTCCTAACTTTTATCAAACGCATTTGACGACGACATTCTTCCGCAGAGCCCCAAGTTTCTGGAGTCGACGACATTCGAGTATATCCAATGGCACTACAACTCACATGATCAACGAGCCTGTCGACGAAGAGTTTCTATACGAGGAAAGGTTGAAGTACTTCCATCCGACCCGAGCTGGAGATGTACTGGACGGCAGGTTCAAGGCAATTGCAAAGCTGGGTTTTGGTGCTGGGTCTACTGTCTGGCTAGCTGAAAATCTCAAGTTGCGAGTTTCGCCATTTCTCTCTCTCATTCTCTCACTCTCTCCCTATCTTTCTGTCTGTCTATCGCTTTATGCTGGAGAATTCAATTCTGTGGATGGTAGTTCAAAGTTTTGGAGCTCAGATATTCCTCGCTATGTTAGCATCAAGGTACCAACCATTGATTCCAATGCCTCTGGTGAATCGAAACGCTCAAAACTCATCTCCAGCACCAATCCCTCCCATCCAGGATTGTCTTTCATCCGACTACCCATTGAGGAGTTCCAATCAGAAGGTCCAGAAGGAACTCATTTCTGTCTTGTTTACAAACCCATGAGGGAGACGCTCTATCATTGGCAACGCCGGCTACCAAAACAGAGGCTTCCTTTGCCACTATTCAAATCTTATGCATTTCTCATCCTCCAAGCTTTAGACTATTTACATACCGAGTGCCATTTAATCCACACAGGTAAAGTCTCAGACTACCCCACGGATACTGTTACTAACTCCATTCCCAAAAGACATCAAGGACGATAATATTCTAGTGACGATCGAAAACGACTCCGTGTTCGCTGATTTCGTCAAGAATCTGACTACAAATCCCCAGCCTAGACATGTTCGAACTGGCGATGGCCGTGTAATATATCTCTCACAAGATGACTTTGGTCCATTGCGAGGTAACATGGTTTTGCCAGCTCTGGCTGATTTCAATCAAAGCTTTCCAGGACTAGATGGCAATAAAGGCCATCTATCTCCCATCCAGTCTCACCGTTACCGTGCCCCGGAAGTGCTACTTGGATGTCCATGGTCATACAGCGTCGACATCTGGAACTTTGGTCTTGTTGTGAGTAACTTGTACCTCCCCAAAATAACATCACGTTAATGCTTGAACACAACTAGATGTGGAATATGTTAGAGAACACTAGCCTGTTTGAGAACATTGTTGGCGACGATGGTGAATACGATGCGCACATCCATCTAGCCCAGATCGTTTCTCTGTTGGGAGACCCCCCTGAAACCTTGGTCAATAGGGAACGTGTCTACCGCAAGCTAAAGCTTGGCCGAACAGTAGAAAACCCAATGGGCAGGGGCTGTGAGACTATGAACGAATATTGGGGTGGGCCTTTCTTTGATGAGCATGGTAAGTCCCGTGATGATATGATCTGGTTGGAATGGCTAAAGCTGATCTCTCAACCTTTCTACAGCAGGCGAAATCATGCGCAAAGATCTTACGGTACAAACACGAGCTGGGGGACACTGTCACTGAATTATCAGAGGATGAGAAAGATGTGTTTCTGGACTTTGCTTCATCTATGCTCCAATGGGTGCCCGAGAAAAGGAAGACTGCCAAGGAGCTGTTGCAGCATAGGGTCTTTGACTCCCTGGAAAAGGAGCGGGAACGGTATTTTCAGACTTATGTCTGAGTTTTGACTGCTGATAGAGACAATACCGTACATGATTTTGACAAATACGTCCTCCCGAAGCTACCCTTCATATTATCTAGTCCTCCAAGTTTGCGTACCACACTATACACCCTGGGACAGAAATATCCTCAAACAGAAATCAATGGGAACTCATCGAATTGTTCCTCTGCCTCTACACATGACTCACATTCATCCTCCGAGTGTAGCCTTTTGATAACCACTGTGGCGACCTTCTCATCGTACAAATTACGACCGTACTGCCAAGACGGTTCCCAGGCTTGAGCACCGACATAGAAAATGGAATCATCGTCATATCCCTCCCATGCAGTGATTAGGGTACGTCCGTGGATCATGGCGTCCTTCAATCCCCCGAGACCTCCTATCATCCTTGCATCATCACTTGAGTCGCCGTAGATACCGTTGCCTCCGAAAAGCGCATATTCCCTTGCGGTGTCGGCTTCTACCTCTAGTCGGATGGGGTGCATGGGCCCAAGGCCAACTTGATCAAGAGATGCAAACTCATCGTTGCCTCGTGCAGCTAGGGACTCAAGGTATCTGGTAAACTCAGGCTCTCCTGCGACTTCCCAGTCTTCTTCGTCATCGTGGTGCCCGGTGCAGTCGTGTTGGGTGCAAAGAGACCATTGTTTGCAGCTGTTCCTATGGAATGTGTGGAATCGTCGCAAGGCCAGGTTCCATACGTGTATGGCTTTCTGAGGACAAGTTCGTTGGGCGGTCGATTCTCCTTCGATGGCGCCGCAGCGGGTGCAGTGCTCCCCGACTTTAGGGAAGGGAACATATGCCTCTGCGAGATCGATCTTCTCCAGGTATGGAAATGGGTCGCGGTATTCGACGTAGCTTAGGATTCTATTGCGCATTTCCGGAGGGAGACCAAGGTGACGCGCGACGTCGTCAAATATTTGATGCTGTTGCCGCCCGATGTGGGCTTCAGACTTTTGCCTGGCATCCAGGCAAAATTGATGCGATCGGCGAAAGATATGAAAGTTATTGGCGAAGTTCACATCAGGTGCATCATCGTCCCGGTAGTTATACTCCAACAAGTCATTTAGAGGACCATCAGAACCCTTTTCCTTCCATTCGAAATCATCCCAGTCTTGCTCACCACAGTCCCACCGGGGGATCGGTCCTTTGTAGAGAGTGTATCGCTTAGAATCGCTTGGATCGCGGTAATAATACTTCATACCTCGAATACCATCGAGATCTTTGAGCTCTTGTGGAGAAAGTGCAAGCGCTTCGCTCATCTCATCATAGTGGGTGATATTAAAATCTGTGTATATCCAGTCGAATCGCTCGCGAGATTGACTGAGCTCCCACATCTTCGTTAACGGCTCAAGGAGTGCATCATCGAGATCGGCGATGAATTCGTGCAAGGGTTTTGTCTCTTGGACCACTTCCCCCTTGTACTTCAGTTTCAGCCCAGGTGCCTGAGTAAACGTCCATCCAGTGAAGAGAAGCAATCTCGCTGCGACGAACTCTCCGCAGGAGGGAAGTTGCCGCAGTGCCTGATAGGTTGGAAGAAGGAACGCCAGGCACCGAAGATTTCCTCATCGGTGAGTTGGTCATCGGTCAGCCGGCCATCGTTCAAGTTACTGCTGAGGACGTCGGAAAGTCTAGAGAAGCTGTCATAAAGTTGCTTGAGGAGGTTCTTGACTTCTTGGGTGATGTCTATGTCTCCTGTTTTCTGAGCTAGATTGTTGATGAGCATAGTCAAGCGGTGATTTAGGCGCAGAATGCGGTCGAGTTTGGAAGAGAATAATAAGTCGTCTGCCATCTTTGCGGCGTGATGGTGCTCTGTTGTATTTGAGACTTATGGCTGAGAAAATCAGTCGACAGAACTTGGTTGTTTTTGAAGAGTTGAAGTTTCCCACAAGGAGTCAAAAGCTAAGAGTACCTACCTTGGGTAAACTTGCGCAAGTCTTCTTCGTGCCTTCCACAGGTAGGGAGAAAGGCGAATACCTTACGGGGAGGAAAGAAAACACAGGACCTCGATCCTAAGTGACAAAAGGACTGAGGTAATATAGCCTAAGTTTAGGATGACGTTTGCTAAGTTTATTTTATTGCCCCCCGAGGGAGTGTTTAGTAACGAGGTCACACAAGAAGGAGACTCTGATTCACGGTGGTATCCCGCAGCACTGTTTGTCGGGTGCGCACTGGTTTTCCATATAACATCTTCGGATTGGCTGAGTAAATGCAACGTACCACCCAATAGGGTTGAAGCGAATAGATAAGTACCTATTTAATGTTTGGTCAGCTCTTACTCCCATAATCAGACTTGTTCAGGGGGCAGTGCAGGAACAAAGAGGTAGGCTAGGAAGCCCAGCAAACCACCGATGTGTTACTGAGAGGTAAGACAAGCCAGAGTACAAGACTCTTGTGAATAGCGTCATCATTAGCTAGGTACCTTCGCCAATCAAAGGGAGCCAAGTTGAAGTACAAGGCTCACCAGTCTGAAACTGCAATTGCACGCCGAAAGACGAGACACTCTTGAGAAGTAGTGGGTGCGTGGTGTACCCGTTTCTGTTGTGAGCCTGACGTGTTATTTGTCGTTGAGCCTTGTGGCTGAGAGTGTATACCACAGAGAACTTGGTTGTCAATACCTTCAACTTTTGATTTTCAGCTCTAGTAAACAACTACAAAGAGAATAAGATATGTGCAACGTATAGACGCGTGTTTGTTACGTAGCAGAAGTCTTGATGAAGTTGTGTTGTGCTTGACTATTATCCCCTTATTATTGGTCACACAGATTTTACACATGAACGGGTATTTCTCGATGACTTTACAAGACTCAAACCTTCAATTTCCCTGGCAAAGAAATCGCAAATATTACTTCATGAATGCTATTATTATCAGCAAACATTACAAACTCTAACATTGCCCAGCCCAATCCCAGTATAATCCCAGCCTTCCGTCCTTTGCAAGTGGTGTCGGTATCTTTGACCACTCCTTCGATAGAGGTTGGCCTCAGCTCAAAACTTAGCAGAAGTCCCCTAAACTTAGGCCAAACGACCTAAATATCTTCATTATTTTAGGTCAAGGTCCCGAGCTTTCTTACCCCCCTAGGTTCTCCTCTGCTAGATCACTCGCACCACTCACATCGTCCTGGCCACGAGTGGAGGTCTTTGACCACCTTCTCTGCAACTCTCTTGGCGAGCAGTTTCTGGCCAAGAGCCCACTGGCTCCGATTTCTGCACGTTCCGGCTTCGTGAGGGCGTGCATCGTCATCACCCTCTCCATCGTCACCATCGTCGGTGTCCTCTTGTTGATCATTGCTGTTCTCTTCGTCGTCGGTGCCTCCGTCACCATGTCCTTGGCTCCATGCCTTGGTCAGCACTCCTCCGTGTAGCATGCTGTCTACCAAGCCGCCCAGACCACCTGTCATCTCCCAGTCTCTGTGGGTTTCAAAGTAGATCAAGGATCCATTCTTAAGTCGTTTGGCTCGAATCTCATCCTCCGCTTTGTTGAGGCGAATATGCTGAACGGGGCCAAGGCCAACTTGATCAAGGGATATGAATTGATCATTGCCTCGAGAAGCTTCCTTCTCAATGAACAGGGTGAATTCGGGATCTCTGAGAACAGCCCAACTGTGGTCGCTGCAGTCGTGGTGACCGTTGCAATCACTACCGTGACTACATAGAGACCACTGGTTGAATGCATTCTTGTGAAAGCTATGAAAACACCGCAGAGCAAGGTTCCAGATGTAAAGACTTGCTTGAGGGCATGTGCGTCGAATGGCTGAGTCCTCATCCATATTCTCACAGTCCAGGCATCTCTCGCCGACTGTAGGGAAGGGAGTGTAAGCTGCTCCAATGTCGAGGTTCTTGAGATAGGGGAATGGTTCGCGGTGTGGGGGTGGGAGATATGATAGAATCTCTCTGTCAATCTCTCGGGGGATGCGGTGACGGAGGAAAATATCGTTCAGGAGTTCTTGTCGTTGGGTACCGAGATTTGCTTCCGCGATCTGCTGAGCGTCTAGGCAAAACTGCCAAGAACGACGAAAGACATAGCAGTCCCAATATTTCGTGGCTAGTGGTTGAAAAGTGTACTTGATATCACCGGCGATGGGCCTGGCGTTTCCTTCAACCCTCCACTTCCATTCCGGATTCAAGCCTGTCCCTTCCTCGAGATCCCATCGTGGCTTTGGACCTGTGTAGAGTTTTGATTTTGCGTAGATCTGCCGATCCCCCTCGAAGGCTAGTTCGGAATAGTAGTATCGTTCTCCTCTTCGTGTCCATTTGAAGCGGCGTTTGTACTCGTCGAGTGACAGACATACGGCGATTTTGGCGTCCCAACACTCAAAGTTTCCAACCGGTCTGCCAATTAGATGATCTGCAAATACCCATTCAAAGGCTTCGGTCTGCCCGCTACGAATCCAGATCGTACGCAGAGCGCTGAGGAGAACATCATCAATCTCTGTGCAAAGCTCATATAGATCGGCAAGCTCCTCATCTGCTGTGGCGCCTTCATACTATTTACGGATACCAGATTGGCAGATGAGTTCTGCACCGAGAAATAAACACATCCTGGCGCCTACAAAGTCAGTACCAGGCAGTTTCAGGATAGCTTTGATGGTGTTCAGGAGACCTCGCCATCCATCGTAGACATAAGCTTCAACACTGGACTTGAGATCTAGGGCCTTGCCGTATCTGGCGATGTTTTTGTAGATCCTGTGAAGAACGCGTTGCAGCTGGACCTTGCTTTGCTGCTTCTCTGCGGTAAGTTCCTCGACGAGATTCATGATCTGTTGATTCTCATCAAAGACCTCCCGAACGGCGACGGACGGAAGGTCTACGCGTTCCATTTTTGGAATCTTTGAAAGCTGGAAAGCTGGAAAGCTGGAAAGTTGGAAAGTTGAAAAATTGACAATGTTGTTGAATGACTTTGCTCTGTCTCTGAATCGTTGTGTGTTTTTCCTCAGGCCCAAGCCCACGATAGCTCTTCTAGTGTGAGTGGGGTCACGTGGTATGGTATAGGTAGGTAGGTAAGGGGAGAGCAAGACCCAGATAAATGCTTGGGTAAACTTGGTATGACTTGAGGATAACTTATGTTACTTAGGTAAATTTAGGATAACTTCAGGATAACTTAGGATAGTTGAGGATAAACTCAGTATGATTTTAGGATAGCTCATGATAGCTGAGGATAAACTTGGGGAAACGGTTTACCAAAGTTGTTCTTGGCCCCTGACACGCGATCTCAAGTCTTTTGAGCAGGGCACCAGCACTGAAATGACGATACAGCAGTACGATCCCCACCAAGGAGCAAGCCTACAAGCCCAGTTCTGCCAAGACATGTCGTCTTGGTCGTCTAAGGAGGCCCACTGCACTAACGCCTTACGAGATGACGATGTGCACAGTCAATGCGGGCGAACTCGCCACGGTAAACACTCTTCAGCGCCTGGAGTCAAGGAGCAACTGCATAAAAAAGAAAGGGTATAGTAGATTGGTACGTAGTTGGGCAGTTATAATGAATTCGTGAATCCATTGAGTACAAATAGTATTGGATGATGTCCATGGTAGTAGAAAGTGGACCTCCCCTTGGGTGACAGACAGTCTAGTACCTGACTAGCAAACAGCTTTAAAAACGCCTCCAATGATCGTACAGAATAGAAAAACGCCGAGCCAATGTCAAAGCAGAGCTAGCAAATAGTGTTGTTGTAGTGGTTGCATCACTACTGTTATGGTGGACGTCCAAATGCCGGGTTGGCAGGTATTATTCGCCCATAGTTATTCGGTGCTTAGAACGAGAGCACTTCCATAATATCGCCCATTGGGCTCGCTTCTCGCTGTGGTCGACCGAATACAAGCGGTGCCAGGGAATCAACGCCCGAGTCTTCCGCCTCGAGGCTCAGTGTAGAATTACTCGATATCGATCGCGATGGGGAAATCGTCTTGTGTGAAGATGACGGCGGAGGAGCTGGCGCAAGATACGCCGAGAGCAGAGCATCCAGGTCTGGTCCGCTCGAAAGCGTCGGTAGTACAGGTCGGCTGATCCGTCTGTAGTGCTTCGTCGTCGGCGCCGCTGTTTTCGGACGCGCAATCGGTGCAGAGACAGCTCGTTTGCTCGGCGTGCGCGTGAACAATCTAGGAAGCTGCTTAAACGACTTTCGAATCGACGATGATCGCGCAGGTGCGGTCTTGGTCTTGGTCACGCCCGTAATGGGATGCTCGAAAAAGTCGATGCCGTGGGAGACGGGAATGTTGCTGGAGACGGTATTGTTGAAGTCTTCAAGGAGAGTGTGAATCTGGGCCTCGTCGAGACCTTCCACCAGCTCGAAGAGCTGGTCTACCGACCCGCGGCGGTTGAGCTGAGGCGAATGGGCTGCCATCCTGTAGAGAACGCAACGCTCTCTCTCATTGAGAGTGCAAGGCAGAAAAAAAGAGAGTGAGTGGGGGAGAGGTGAACGATTGGTCAAAGCTACAGGGCGAGGGAAGACATCCATATTGTAAGGAGTCGATGGCGTGCGGGTCCTGGACATGGATGTTTCAGTTGAAATTAAATGAGCCTGCAACGGGTTAGACCAAATACCACCTCCAGGGGGATCTTCCGATACCTCATCAAAACAGATGAATCTTAAAATGTTTGCGACTGAATTATATGCAATTGGTAAAACAATGCCATGAGACTATTGTTTGCAGTGTCATGCGCCTTGTTGGAATGCATAAGGTAGCTGAGGGCATTCGCGCTGACGGGGAGATGCATGTCACAAGGTCAATTTGGCGCATTCAGGCACCAAGCCAACTCTCTATTTTTAGCGAGGCTTTATGCTGGGTTTGTTTACTTGGTCTCGTCACATCGTCTGTTGTACAAACTCAATATTGGCATTATACGAGCCAAGTTGGTTCAGGCCACTTGCTCCAGCCGATAAGCCATTTGGTTGCTGCAGGCTCATCTCGTAATCGGGACTTACAGTGGCCCAGCAAACGCCGCTGTATCTCTTACAGATTCTTAATGTTAAAGACCAGCTTTAAATTAACTCGGTCAAAAGCCGTCATTGCTTTGTATAGCACGTGGTCCTCATCATGGGACAAACCTCAATTCTAGGTGTTTCAAGCATGACGATTATTTGACGAGTGAGGGACTGACTCCGAATAACAAAGTCAGAGGGTCTTACATCCATTAACTTGGCTTATTGGACCAGTCCGTCCTACCACATTGGTCTGTAGCTTTGTTACACATACGAGAGAGATGGGCTGACTGTCATTCCATAATACAATCAAGTCAAGGCTGCACATGCTTAGATCTCTGCCAGTCCACAAACATTTTGGGTTTCATGGTGTTGTGATGTACATACCCGGTATTGACACTCGTCAACATCTCCATCACAAATGTAACAAGAATCGGCGCATATTGACTGTCTGATACTACGAAGTTTTAGTGCACTGCGGAAAGCGCAACAACCCTCTGATAATACGGCTGATGCCAATTATTTCGTCTGATTCATACCCTTTCATTCTTAAATACCGCAGAGCCATTGTGGCCACAGACCGCTGTCTTGAACGGAACCGCCAGAAAGGTTTTATCTTGGTAACATAACTTTAGTGGTAAGTGAAAGAGATTATACATCCAGTGTTTCTAAGACGTTCTCGATCCATAGCCAGAGTCTCTTATCTGCAACAAAATTGGTGTTCATTTCCGACATCAGTGTAAGCTTTCTTACAATCACGACGTCGATAGAAACATTCGTTCGACCGTTATCATCTTCTTGCTGTGTTGGTTCGTCTTCTTCCTCTTCAGAGTCACCTTGGCACAACGTAGCCAATAGAGCTTGGCCAGACTCTTGCATACTCCTGTCATGAAAGAGTTGAGGAATCTCATCCGAATTCTTATTGTACACAAGATCAAACAGCGACTTGAAGAGAGCATAGTCTTGTGTAGAGAGCATCCGAACCAGTCGCAAAAAGTACCACAGCTTGTCAGCTCTCTCCCATTTCTGAGGCCCCAAGGCTTGGATCCCATTACGAAATCCCGATCTGAAAGCTGCAATGAGTGACGGTTTAGGCGGTGAAAGTGACCCATTGAGTCCCGGAGTGGAGAGCAACTCTGCTGTAGGGCTCGCCGATGCAGAACTCCAGTCGATGATACACGTTATGTTGAAGTCTCCATCGACGAAGATATTCCCACGGTGAAGGTCTGGGTGGCAGAGCACAAATGTTTCTTCTTCTGAGACCAGGTGAGGAACCATTTCGGTTAAGAATTGAGCTGCAATACAGAAGTCGAGTCTGTTCTTGTTGCCCTCAACCCCGTCACCAACAGAGCAAAAAGCTTGCCATCTCTCTACTGCCTTTCGATAGCTTGCCCATTTCGGATATTCGAAAGGATCAGGTATTGGAGCGAAGAAACTATGAGGGCTGAGCGAGAACTCTTCAGCATGAGCTGTAAAAGCAGATATCAGGGACCTAAGATACTGGCTTTCCTGATCAAAAGGGCCTCGGTCGATGCCTTCTAGCTCATCTCTGTGTTGCCAAAGAAGAGAGGGGCTTAGGCATTCGCTAACGAAGCAGTTGCCATTGTTGTCTTGGAATAGCGAGCCAATCTTGTCGAAATGGGTGTCCGAGAGACGGGACATAATGGTTCCTAACTGCGCCATTACCTTTTCCCTATCTAGATCCGGCATGGGTAGAAGCGGGCGTCTGTTTGGATACCCTTCTATTTGAGACAACTCAATCCAGTCATAATCTGACAATGGGCGACCACTAGCCTTGCTCATGAGGATATACGGCACTCCGATGTCATTGTCACTGTCTCCACTGTTTGATCATATCAGGATCTCATGCTTTTCCAGCCAGGGAACTATTCTGGAGTAACCAATCTTACCTGAACGAGAAGACTTCCGGGACCGGCATCGAGGCCAAAGTTCTCAGATACTTTAAAGTCACGGCTTCGCTGATGAGTAACTTGGACGCGGATTCTTCCTTGATAATGGCGCTCAATCCTCGCCATGGCGATCGGAATATCCATTCAACACCATCCTCGAAAACGACGAAAATGGCCCAGTGCATACTACCAGCTTCAGGCCTCGTCGACGTATCCACAGTGCATGATTGACCTCGAAGTCTTATTGCGAGAGAAATAAGAGCATCGAGATCAAACTTGACAAATGCAAAGACCTTTGGTCGCTTTGTAGAGGTAGACATGATGGTGCTTGTAAGCCATGGGTGAAACTGAAGTTCGGTTGCTATAATCTCGAACATAGAAATCACGATCCTACCTTGGATCGGATCAGCTAAAATCCGGTGCCTTCAATTTGTGAATTCAAAATCATGCTTAATATGCTGTTGGTCGGTGTCCCAAAGCTTCTGTGAAACCAATTCTGTTGGTTTCCCATTGACTTTAACGCCAACCAAAGATTGGCTAGCGTATGGCCACCGTTGAGCTTCTACGACCGGTTCAGAAACTAAGCTTATGTCACCAAATATAATTTTATATTCAGCGATAGACATCTACGTTTTGCGATAACATACGAGTAACGTTATGCGGGCTTCCTATTTAGGCTGCTATAACTTTCACTGCCGAAGGATTCAAGCGCCAAGGATCAGAGCGCCAGCCACGCCAAGACCACTGCATAGCCACTGAAACTAAGCCCATTTGATGACGTCCAAAGCTACTGTCGATTCTCAGAACCCAACAATCACCTTTTCACTACCATCACCACACGATCAACATGGACGCCAATGACACGAAACTCAGAGGTCTCAAGGCTTGCACAGTCTGTGCTAGTGCAAAAGTCAGATGTGACATGGTATTGGGCCAGAAGCGTTGTACAAGGTGAGTTACTCCGTATTGGAGTTGGGGATGGAGCTAATGTTGGTGGCATAGATGTGAGAGATTGAACAAGGAGTGTGTTTCTCAACCGAGAGGAAGTCATAGTCGGAGGAGTCATTCGAAAGGCGGGACTTATGCCCGAGAGTGCGTATACATCGATCCTGCGAACTGACAGCCGACTGATTGTCCTAGTGATCTTCTCAGACTAGAATCCAAGTTCGATTCAGTCGCAAACCTTCTATCATCCTCATCAACAAGCACACTTCCCTCGATAACAATAGCAACCCATCCTCGAAAAGCCTCCTCAGCTACCAGCTCAAGTTCACAAACGCCACCGGATTCCCAATCACCCATCCACGCACTCTTCTCATTCCCGTTATCATCCACCTCTCACCGTCTAGCTTACAAAATGCTCGAAACCTATCGTCAAGAAATGATGCCACTTTTCCCCTTCGTGTGGATAGGTCTAGATGAAACTCCTGAGAAGTTGTTCCAAGAACGACCGATGCTGTATATGGCGATCATGGTGGTTACGTGTCAGGAGAATATTGACGTCCAGCAGGAACTTGCGCAGAAGTATCGAGAGGAAATTGGGCGGAGAATATGGACGCTGGCGGAGAAGAATCTTCAGCTGCTTCAAGGGATTTTGGTTTTCCTGGCTTGGTATGTCTTTTGTCCGAAGCAAGTACTTACATATACTGACATTTGAAGGTACCAAACTCATTGGGTTCTCGGTCACCAACTCAGCAATCTCATGTACATGGCCATGTCACTGGTCACAGAGCTTGGCCTCGACAAAGAGCCTTCATCAGGCACCAGGACTGCACCAGGGGTTTTGACTGAAATCACAAAGAAGCAAGAGCCTCAGCCTGTGAGAACAAACGACGAGAGGAGATGTCACTTGGGGGTCTTTTGGTTGAATTCCTTGTAAGTGAGAGACACCATATGATTTCAATATGCTAACTGACCTGATCTAGACTGAGAATTTGTGTCAAAGACATTGTACCGATGCCCTCGCGACCTTCCATCAACAATAGCTGCTCAGTTCTCGAAGCAGGATTGGAATCTCCCTGGGACACATATCTTACTCAACTGGTGAGGATACAACTCGTTGCAAGTTCGATCAGCGCAACGCTGTACCAGGATTTAGAAAGAAATGAGGCACAGATTTCGCATACGCTATTTATGGCAACCTCACATGTGGAGAGACAGGTACAAGATCTGGGCGCGACTCTGCATCAAGGATCCCGTCTTCAAGGTAGTACAACAGCTTGCAAGTTCTTCGGTACCTGAATCTGACCTTCAGTAGCACCATTGACAATGTCTTTTCACATGCTCCAAGTCTACCTCTACAAAATTGGCATCGACGAACGCCTCCACGAACCAACCAACCCGGACCTCCTCCCGGCCGCTGACCCCTCCCCACATGCCCTCCGCTGCTCTTATCTTCTCGTATCATGCCTCAACGCCGTCAAAGCCGTAATCGAAAACTTCCTGCTCCTAACATCCCCCACCATCCTCTCCATGCCGTACACCTACTGGATCCAGATGGGACACTGCATCAACATGTTTTCCCGACTGTTGGTTACACACTCCACCCTCTGGGATCCGAATCTCGTCACGGGGATACACGATTTTACATCGACGCTGGAGCGGCTGGCGGTGAAGATTGAAGGGGCTATGAGTGAGGGTGCGGGCATGACGCCGCCGAGATATCTGCCGTCTATGTTTAATCAGATGAGGGGCAAGTTGATTGATATTTGTCGGAAAGTTGGGGAGAGCTCGAAGGCCATGGCGCAGGGGTATGTTGGGACGCCGACGGCGCCGGAGAGTTTTGATACAGGGAATATGATTATGGATGAAGAGACTGAAGCTTTGTTGTTTAGTTTTCTAGAGGACGGAGACTTTTTATGAAGATCAGACGCATCTCGAGCTGAGGTGGAATACACGTCAGATAAGAAAGACACCATTACTTATCATACATTGAATTATGTTGAACAATTCTGGTAAGACTCAGAAATCCTCAGCCGTAGTGCTTATGAGATCGGCCCAAACTATCGCAACAATCTCACTGCCGAACATCCCGGCTACGGCTCCCCAGGCATTCGTATGGACGGAAACGTGCATGACGAAATATCGTAGGATTCATTTTCTTGATAAGCAATAAGCCCAATTCCAGAGCTGCCAATCAGACCTTCCGTTTTTTAGGCGTCATATTGTGGCAGAGAAATGTTGTTTATATGAATACAAGACAGTCCCATCGTCGGTGGCTTTTTTGCCGAGGTAATCAACCCCATCCCTTGAAAAATTCCAAGCTACAAACTTCATCCTGATCAACCATGAAAATGTTCAGCGCTTTGTTGACAGGCCTGTACGGCAGCTTTTTGGCACATGCGTATCCCGTTGAGCACCCTGCCAAGTTCTCGAGACTTGTCGTCTTTGGTGATAGTTTCAGCGATAACGGGAATGGGTCTTGGGTCGTGAGCAATGGGACTTGGCCGGTTGATCCAGCGTACTACCAACATTCTTTCTCGTGAGTTTTCTCGCCGTCAATTAAAATTATATACTGACCCCGGACAGAAATGGGCCGAAATGGAATGATGTAGTGGCCAAGCAGCTGGGTCTTGAGCTCATCAACCTCGCGACTGGTGGAGCTACTACCAACAACGATTTTGTCGCTGGAGGTACGGGTGCTGAGTCAACGATTCCTGTGCCTTCAGCTGCAGATCAAGTTCTGTCGTTTCTGTCTTGGGATAAGCCTCAGGCTGGTGATATCTTTGTTCACTGGATTGGTGCCAATGACATTCTTTTCAACACAAGTATTACTGGAGGACAGGTCACGAGCTTGATCAACGAGAACGTTCACAGACTGTTTCAAGCCGGTAAGACCTCCCTTCAAACTCAAAATCCATGATCTGATTCACTACAGGTGCAAAGACTATCATCCTAGCAAACTATCTCAACGCAACGACCTTTCCAGCAACGTACAACTCTTCAGCCTACAACGTCCCCAGCGTGCAAGACTACGTACCAGCCTTGACAAAGGGCCTCGAGCAAATCGCAGCAGGATACTCAGCATACGCAAAAACCGCAGTGATCGATGTGCAGGAACTATTCAACGACATGTTTTCGGATCCCGAGGCGTACGGGTTCGATGAGGACTATGTCAATCCTCCGACTGCATGTCTCACGGGCGTTTATACGAGCGAGGGTGTTCCACGACACTTATGCAGTGATCCCGAGAAGCATATCTTCTTCGATTCATACCACCCCGTTAAAGAGGTACATGCTTTAGTAGCAAAGTTGTTTGTGGAGAGTGTTGAACGGTTCTCGGCTTGATCTTGTTGGTCAGGCCGTAGGGGTAAGGCGTGTCATGCAAGCATCAGCTGTCAGGTCTATCATCTCAAAACAACATTCTCACAAACACACTTCAGGCAACACACCGACTCCCCGCATCATTTCCCAGGCTTCCAGCTTTAAATCTAGTGAGAAAGTAGTAGGGCAAGTAGACATAGGAAGATTCACAATGTAGGGGGGAACATATAGCCTGAGCTTAGGAGACTCTTTGCTAAGTTTATTTTGGCATCTTCTTTCTACGTCTTGGATGGTCTTTCTCCCTGAGGGGCTCTATAATCGATGGTATATTCTGATGAAAGGGCCTTGGCTCGTAGAGAAGTTGTGTGTATGTATAAAGAAGCTGTCAACTAAGATACCTAAGGTACCTAGTGGCTCCAGTGGGCAGGCTACAAGAAGTGACTTGGGACATGGAGCACACATCCATTATCTCAACACCACCCATAGGTAGCCCGACGTACAGGGCCAAATGAAGCTATCTAGATACATGATATTGGCTCTTTTTGGTTTTGCTTGGTGTCGTCTTCGCTCTCACAGGCGACCCTTTCTTTCATCACTTAGGCTTAAGGTCCTGGCCCCCCCCTCCATATTGTCAGGCTTGTGCGTATCCATCATAGGAGCGTCGCGAGGTCTTCTCGCCGACTCACTTCTCAAGTATCAGCACATATCATCATTGCAACAAGTCTTGGTCACTCACAAGCCGAAAAGTCGTACCCCGGGGAGATACCGATCGTACTGGATGGCCCTTGGCATTCCAGTCAATCTTCTTGAAGATAGGCTTGGGGCTATGGTGCTCCGAACTAACCGAGCCCTTGGGAGATGCCACTCGCAACTGGTCGGCCCCGTTTCCCCCGCCATCCCAGTTGATCTTGTTAAATGTGGGTGGCGCAGTGTGGTCGTACCTGGGCCTGTTTCTATGCGGGATGGCATGTTCTCTCATGGGTCCCCACTCCTAGAGGGGACCTTTACCGGCTATAAGGGCATATTTACCCATTCGCTTGATGTATTGACCCCCTGCATTGTTGAATACATAATTGGTATGGCGATACTTCCATGCGTTGTCGTCGCGAGCAATTTGGTTTTTGCTGCCCATGCCACAACACATCTTGAAAAGTGTATCGAATTGTGCAGGGTGGAGACCGTAAGTTAAGCGCAGGTAGGTAATATTGTCCCCATTCACACCCTGATAAAGAAAAGTGTAGTTGAGGAATGTGGCTAGAAGGCAGAACTGAAATGGCGTGGCAAAAGATATCGTAAGTGGTGATTTGTGTTGTTTGGTGATGATGATAGAGGGGAAGGGAAATGAAGGGGATTTGGGAGGAGCTTTGGTCTTTATAGACAATAAGGTAATTGGGAAGGGGAGGAGTAGAGTTGGCTGTATTCTTCACGTGGGCTACAGTAACACCTCCTCACTTGAGAGGAACGTTGAAAACTATATACCAATGGCCCACTCAGCAAGTATTGTCTGTAGTTGGGCCAATACAGATCTAGGAACCTTTTCTTTGACTGGTGATATCGAATCATGAATAGCCTCCAGGATTAACTTCTTGTTGCTGCCTACTCATTAAATTTATGGACAAAGGACACGAAGCGTCGGAGAGTGTTTCTTTGAGGGGAAGATCATGCGATTAACTTCAAGACTCCGGTGATGATGGGAGATTCGAGCAATAGCGCCTCAAATCGTAGTATCCTTGAGAGAAGCAGGCCAAGTCACTGCAATGTTATAGACGCCGCTCTGTGGGCACAGCAATCTTGTAACAAATAAAGGCTAACAAACACAGATTAACGCTAACTGCCCACATAACTAGCTTTCAGCTTCTTTTCTCAGCCACAAGCTTCTACTGCAAATAACAAACAACACATCCCAACGACTGCAAGTTAGGACTGCCTCAGTCTTCCGAACCTAGCACTTGTCGAATGGCTATGGGAGAGCTACAAGGTGCAAGAATACGAGGCCGACGATGAATCAAGATGGTCGTGATTACCAAACGCGACTGATTTGTTGGTACGGAAGTCACTCCAAGATAAAAAGCTCACGGGTCCTCCCCTTCACTCCCCTTCTCCCCTTTCACGTTTTCTTTTCATTTGTTAAATACATTTCTTACGAATGCCCCCAACCCCGATATTCCTTATAATGTGCCGTGGCAGCTCCAGAGACGTGAAGCCGCCGGCGGAGCGAACTCCTGCAAGCATGGGGATGTTTCGTAACTGCTACTTTCCTATGAAGCCAAAGGAGCATGCAGAGGACAAGTTTCGAAGGGACGAGTACCAGTCGTGGAAGCACAAGAGGATGAAGAGCCAGCGGAACATCCGGGTCCTGGAGTAAGCACTGTCATGATATTCACTTCACTTCACCTTATCAGAGAGACGAGTCGGCTAACAGTATTCCAATTCCAGGCGGTTCAAGTGTTTTCCTCTTCCCGGCGAGCGCCCTCGCCCAGGTTCAGGAAGTTCAGGACGCTCATCTCCGGCCCCAGTCGGGACAGTGTCAGCCAAAGCCCGTGCCTCAGCAGCTAAATACCCAAACGTACCGCTCGGAGGCAGGCGACCTTCCATAGGGCGCGGCGACAGGACCCCTGCCTATGGATGGGGAGGGAGCTTGGGGAGAGAGATCACTCCCCCACAACATCCATTTCTGCAATCGATCCGAGAGAGGAGGGCAAAGAGATCACTCTCAGACTTCCCATTTATCCATGGCGGGGGTGAGGGTAGACAGATGGAATAGAGAGAAAAGACTGCCTAAATTATTTTATAACTTTTATCCTAAGTAATGAACAGACTTTGGTAACTTAGCCTAAGCTTGGGGGACTCTTTACCATGTTTATCTTAACACCCTCTTCGCGAGTCTCAAGCTTTCTTGGCCCCTGAGGTCTGTCTATACATAAACATAAGTCACTCCCAGCACTGAAGACAACCGAAAGCATCACGGTGAAAACAAAAGAGGCGGTAGCACATTACTACAATCCTATCTCATAAGTTTGACTTGTAACATCATGTTTTTACATATCCGTCCCCCAACATACACCTAATATACAAAGTCCCCTCTTCACTCTTACACCAAATGCCCCAAATCATCAAGGATGCATCCCTCCATGCTTTTTCTATAAGACCTCTTCCCAATCTGAAGTATGGTATTTTGTAACAGAGATCCCCTATCGTAAAAAAAATTACAAGACATTAATTAGTGGAGATGTGCTTGCCACCTCACTCAGTGAGCCCCTTTTCTAGGCCTTCTTCTCAGGTGGTGGGCTGCCGCTGAACATGCCACTGAACGAACCCATCATGTTGTTCATAGCTTCCTTCTGGGCCGCCTCCATCATGGCGGCTTCTTCCTTGAGCCACTTCTCGCCGTTCTCGCGGATCTGCTTCTCGAGCTCCATGTAGTTTCGCTGGCCGCGCTCGCGGGCAACGTCTTGGAGCATCTTGCCCTGCGCGAAGGCCTCGGCGGGGTTTTGCTCGCCTTCGGGGGAGACCATCATGCTCATGTTGCTGGGGTTGAGACCGAGGAGGTTGCCTAGAGCGCCGACGCCAGAGCCGTGCTTTTGCTTGTGGGCGAGTTGCTTGGCTTGGAACTCCTTGCGGGCGATGGCTTCACGACGGGCGAATTCCGTGGGGATATGCTTGCCGTCGAAGGACTTGATGACCTTGCGGACATCGTCGTACTGCATGGTGTGGATGTACTCGAGGAAGGGAATGAGGTTGACGAGCTCCTTGTCGTTTCGGTCGCCCTTCCAGGGGTCAAGAATGATGGCGTTCTCGGGTTGGTTGCGGACGTGCTTGGGGTTGCTGTCGATGATGATCACCTTCTTCAAGTCACGGTTGAGGTAAGAGAGGTCCTGATCTGTTAGCGCAATCACATTAATAGCTACTGAGGACGCTTACCTTGACGATCTCTCCATCCTCAAACTTGGTAGCCTCTCGGTAGAGGGGCCACAAGATTAATCGGAAAGGATCCAATTTCCTCATGATAGGCTCGCCAGTAGCAAACGGAACAGAGGTGAAAAGGACCAGCTCATAGTACTGACTAAGATAACGTATGAAGTAGTCGACACCAGGTCGCTTTGCAATTCTCCAGCCATGTTCACGGGACCACTCGCTGTGAACGAGAAGGTCGTCCAAGCTCAGGCAGAGAGTATAAGGGCGCTCGAACGAAGGATCGGGATCGGGGAGGAGCTTCTCGAATGCAGGTTCTTGGTAGTAAGTGACGGACTCGGTCAAACGGGCCTTGGCACGCTTCCACCACAGACCAAGTCCAGGGCCGTTGGGAATATCAGAGTGACGCTCAGCTTCGATGGTGTCTTCCCAGTTTCGGCCCATGTATAGAACGCTCAGAGTACCACCGGCAGCAGCCGTAATAAGCATGAATCTTGTCCACCACTTGCGATTTCGCTCAGACGTCGAGACATATTCCGATCGTTCACGTCCACCACTAGACTCAGCCTCCTCCATCTCCTGCAGTTCCTTCTGCTCCTTCTTCTTATCACCGCCCATCTCCTCAAACAGCGTTGAAGGAATACCCTGTGTCAGATCGGGTAGTTTGTGGAAAGGTATTTGCTCCCCCTCCTTCGGAGCCTCGGTAGACTTCTCGCCAGCCTTGTCGACGTCATTCTCAGCAGGCTTCTCGACGTTTTCAGCATCGTTTTGCGCCTGGGGAGGCTTCTGTTTCGAATCTTTGTTTTGTTGAGAGGAGGACTTCTTGGCGTATGTTCGGAGCCATGGCGAGGCAAATTGAGGAGCGGCGGCGGGAAGAGCTCGGAGAGAAGGAGATGCGACGGGCCGTGACAGACGAGCTGTCATCAAGCCCAAGCGCGAAGCCTGGGCTACTCTAGACAGCATAGCGAAGGGAGAGGAGCTGAACCGCTATGGTTGGAGGGGTTGGTTTGCGGTTTCGATGGCGAAGGATCCAACTTCAATGGCCTGGGGCGTTGACGTGCAGCTTGACGAAGTTGGTCTGATACTCCGCCATAGAATGGCATGGCGTCGTCGGCCGTGGAAAAAAATCGCACGGTTCTGTGCCAAAGTGGAGCTTCTTGAGGGTAGACACCGTGGATTAGCCGTGCTCAATGGCACGGACTTTTGATAGGCCGATGGCGTCATATTCTCTTATCGCTCACGTGAAATCGGGACATCAGCTCCGGTCGCCCTCCGATCATGAACCCCTCCATGATGTCCACTGGCCCAGTAGAGACCCTTGCTCAGTGAAATGGCCACTCAAGTTGATGACATTCTCAAACAAGAAGACGATATTTAACAGTGCAAGTGCTTCTCTCTTTCTCATCCCATTTCCATTGCTTCGCTTGTGATATTGAGAGTCTTCCGATGATTTCTTTCTAGCTAAAGAATTCTCTTGTGCAAAAGATATTCTTCCTCTTTTTTTCGCCACGATCCAAGTAGTCGCCGATTATTCCGACTAGCTACCCGAGACTCCAATTTGACGCCGCCGTTCTAGAGTGCTTTCTCATCGATCGCTTCTACACCATGATACCCACCCTCATGATAAACCTGACTCCTCCAAACTAAACGAAACCTTCACGATTAAGCCATTAACCTCCGACCTTTTTCATCTGCTCCAGTCTGACCTACCCACCTCAATTCTCGTTATCGTCGAAATTCTCCTCTTTGCCACTTAGTACTCACAACCACTCACCATGGCCCGACGATCGAGCAAGAGCTCAGCGTCTCGCCCGTCGCTGAGCTCTCGTCCAGCTGGCTCAATACGCATCGTAATGCCCTCCAAGAAAAGCGCACCTCCTGCAGACCCTGCACCCGCCGTCACAGAAGAAGATGTCAACAAGATCAACATCGCCGACTTGACTCTCGACGTTCCTCTTATCCCTCTCCGCCCAAAACGCCGAGTCCCAAAAACACCATTCCACTTCCTCTCGCTGCCCGCCGAAGTGCGCATTCAGATATACACATACTTCTTTGACGATGTCGATAAGCTTTTAGATCTTGGTCCTCAGAATTATAAGCGCGTGCACAAGAAGCTAGGTCTTATGCGCGTTTGCAGACAGGTTCATGACGAGGCGACTTTTGCGTTCTATAGCACACGGACGTTTCGATTGTTTCCGACGTACCCTGGAAAATACTTCAAGAGCAAGAAGCCTCTCCTGGCGAGGTTGAAGCCGCAGCAGCGCAAGTGTGTTACATCGCTTGAGTTGCGACTTGGTCCTGGATGGAATGCGCCGCCGAGAGGATGGGTCGTCAACCCCGCGTTGGGGCTCTCCGACTGTGTTGATGTTGAGCAGTTGAACGTGTTTGTGGAGTGTGATCCTAGCGACAACATCTTCCAGGGTTGGCGTCGCTCAGATGGATTCTACGAGGGCTTTAGCCGAAATCTTCTGACTGATGTTATAGAGGCCCTGCCATCTGTTCACACAGTCCAGTTTGACGGCTGGACCAGTGTTAAGAAGTCTGGCGATATGATGCAGGGCCTAATGGGCGTCGTCAATGAAGCCGGTTTGGCCATTGAATGGGGCCCCGAGAGAGGATGGACGGACACCTCTGTTGATGAAGAAGATGAAACCCAGAAGATGGGCTATCCTGAAGGGTTTCCTCACCCCGGATATGAGGCTCATGGTTTACTGGCTTTGGCCTGAGTGTACGATTCTCACGATGGAGAGCTTTGGCTCAAATGAGATTTACGAAGCGGACTTTTATACTGGTATGCAGCAGATAACACATAACTATACTCTTAGCTTTATTCATAAGATGAACACTGTAGTAGCTCTTTCATGCTATTTAAACTCGTGGTATCGTTCTCATCTATGCTTCGTGAATCCAAAACACTAACAAACTGTCTTACTGAGCCCCAAGCATTCTCAGTGCATTGCGCAGCTCCTGAACTGCAGTGGGTACGTCTTCAAAGTTAAGTGCGGATATCGCCCACTTGGCATGCTTCTGCGCTTGGTTGATATCCCGTTGATCCGTTGTGAAGCCGGTCGTCTGGACAGGCGCTGGAGCTGGAGGCTGAGGAGCAGGCGCCTGGCGAATCACAGGTGGAGGGTTTGAAGCAGCAGGGTGAGGAGCGCTTGGGGTCGTTGTCCAGGATGGAGGTGCTGAAGGGGTAAAAGGTTCAGGCGGGGGAGGAGCAAATTGTGAGGGAAGCTTGGTGGGAATTTGAGGTGATGGTTGAGGAGGGATCTGTGTCGCAGGCTGTGCTGGGGACTCTGGCACAGGAGACACAGCAGGCGGCAGACCAACGGGTGGAGGAGGAGGAGGACCACCGGATAGACCTGGCGTAGGGCTCTGACTCAAAGGCGAGGGGATGAATGGTTCAGGCGCCTGGGGCTGATGCTCGGGTTGGGGAGGGAAGTATCCAGGATCATCTGGAATTCTAGGCGGCCCGTCCGTGAATGTAGGAACACTAGGAGGTTCCCCAGCATCTGGCGCATCCTCAACCGAAGCGCGAGGAGCTCCGGATAGGAGTTGGACCTCAGGATCGGAGGGGTCGAGAGCGACTTCGGGTTCAGGCTCAGGAGCATGAGGGTTCGTCTCGTTGGGATCCCTGCCCTCGCGAATAGCCTTGAGGATTCGCGCAGCATTCCATTTAGCGAATTTGATCTTCTTGACGACTTCGGGATCAGGCTCGCCCCATTCGCGGGTGAGGTCGAAGAACGTCGCAGCAGCATCGAATGTGTCGGCAGTTTGTCTACGTCTGTTAGTCTCGCCTTATAACCTGGTAAAGACGACATACCTCGTCACCTTGTTAGCGCGCATCGTGCG